CATGACGCGCCGTATAACAAAAATATCTCTTTTAAGATTTTTATTATTTAAAAAACTAAACGTCGTATTGAAATTTTGATACTTGCGTCGTCTTAAACACATAAAACCACACATGTATACGCAAATCAAATTTCAAAAATAAAATGTTTAGGTTGGTAAATCGTTGTGTAAATCGTTGGAAGAACTTTTACACGTATAAGATATGCAATTATGATGAGTACGGTACAATGACGTCACACGTCTTTTTTCAATTACTCATTACTTATTGAATAATATATATAGAAACGTAAGACCTATACTATTATTCTTAAAATTGAACATTTTTTCAAATAAAAAAAACATATTTTTTGTGTTGAATGCTCCTTTAAAAGTTTAAACATATTTAGTGGAATTGAAAATATTTCTATAAATATTCCCGGTCCCGGAAAATAGTTAAAGATAAATTAAAATATGTCTTAGAAAAAAAATGACGGATATAAAACTATTAAAACTTATTCTAAGATTATGACAGGAAATCAAAATGTTAATTTAAATATAACACCAAATTTTTTTAAATTATTTTAAATATGCATCAAGTGTAGACCAGAGCCGTAACTAGGGTGAAGTAAGCGAGGCACTTGCCTTAGGTGCTTGAAGCTGGGGGGCGCAAAAATATTAAATGATTAACTCGAGAAAAAGTATTAATTATTGTATAGTACTGTATAATTGACAATATAATATATAAATATTTTGCATTACTGCACACCGATCCGTAAACGTAATACTATTTTTTAAATATAAAATGTATTTCTTCATTGATTACTCCGATATTACTTTACAATTATTGAACTATTTTTAATATTTATTATTATTATAGTTTTATATTTTGTTATTAATAGAAAAAATTATGTTATCTTTATGACTATTTTCCGTTTAATTGACGATAGGTCGGTATCTGCTTAATATCTACATTATATTTGCTGACACAAAAGCAAGGAAAATTAAGTTTTAAATTATAAATAATAATTCTTTTAAAATATTTTATTACATTTTTATTAATATTAACTATTATTTTGAAACTTCTAATAATTTGAAAATATCAAATTTATTTATTTATTATAATATAAGAAGATGATAGTTAATAATTATATACTTGTGGTTAAAAATGTTATTTCTTGTTTTGCTAAGAAACCTATTTATATTATATTATTATTATTTTATTATAAAATTTTTCAAATTTTATCCGAATCGTATATTTATATTAAAAGCTGTGAGTGTCACAACTCTACAACCTAGAGGGCGCATTGCTTTAGTTCTGCCTCAGGATAAAAAATGGCTCGGTACGGCTCTGCACATTTATAAGTGGTTTCGTATGAATTTTTTTTAAAATGTGTGTAAAATTAAGTGTACTATCATAAGTACAAGTAATTTACATTACTTCTAAAGAAATTTTAACTCGAATGTCTTGAAGGGGTATGCCGTCTACTCAAAAATTTATTTATCATGCACTTGTGTGCACAGCTTAAACTCAATTTGAATTAAACTTTTTATGATATGGTTGTTGACATTTTTAAACGCCATGTAAAAATGTAAAATATATTCACTATATCAGGGGCATAATTAGGGAGGGGATTAAGGAGATGGATCCCCCCCCCAAAACTTTTTTTATGTAATTTTTTTTTATTTATTATATGTGATAATATGATTATTATCATTATTATTATTATTACGATTACTATAATTATTATTATTATTATTATTAAAATTAAAATTATTAAAATTGTTGTTTTGGTGGGGTGAGGGAGGGGGTTATTGTATAAGGTGTACAAATTTTGCTAAAACCTATAATCCCCCCCAAACCAAATTCCTAATCATGCCACTGCACTAGATTACTCTAAACTATGATCGTGTTATTTTAATAACATGATTGTAGTGTTTATAATTATCTTAGAGGCAATTTTAATTTTGAATCAAATATTAAATTTAAAAATTTAAATTTTTAAATAAACCGAATTCAACGTTATTCAGACATTAATAATTTTTCTTTTTTTGGGTATTCTCATCTTGCACTCTCCCCCTACCTCTAGAAACCACTGACCTATGACAAAGGCCGTTGACCGTGTACAACGATTATTAAGACAATGATTAAAAATGTAAAACTGTGTTTAAATTATAATTATAATTAGAGAACAGGAATAAAAAATTCCTGGGAACATTATGGTGGATACCAAAGGGTAAATCATTTTTTGAATTTGATAATAATATTTTGTAGGTAAATATAATATTTTTTATTACAATATTGTTTGTGTTATTGTTGTAGGCATTTGCGATGATAATATAGGACGGGACGATATTTTAGACTATATTCTTGAAAAACAAAATGAAATTAGTTTTAAAATTTTTTCATGAATTATGTTTCCAAAATTAATTAATCCGCAATTAAATAAACTTTAAAATTTTATTTTCTAATAGAGATATATATTTTTTATTTTTTATAATTTATTCACCAGCTTCAACTATTAAATCAGTATAATATATTATTTCATAATTGAGTATTCTGAATTTAGTCGTTATCGCCGATCCTCCTTACTAACACTAATGAGTATTTACTATGTACATAAATGTACGGCTCATATGCAAGCACTAATATTATTGCCTATACTGAACCCCTTAAAAACGGTCAGTTTGCAATGCCCATTGTTTTCACTGAACTTATAACTATTCTGAATTTCTGAATGAAATTTGATATAACATTTTGGTAATTTTATTGAGCATTTCAACATCTTAGTATAAAATAGATACTATAAATTAATTATAATCAGCAATGTAATTAAACATTACATTGTTACCTACATTGTAGGTCATTATTTTACATGATTATAACATGAATGTAAGTTTTGCTCGAATTCCAATTCTTGAAATAGGAAATTAGATGTTTTATCAGATACGTTATGAAATTATCTAAAAATATTAAGAATAAAAAAAATTTTAAATAAAAAACTAACTGATAAAAGAAATAAGTTAGAAGACCAACAGTGATAGTATATACATATATATATATATAATATAAACTTCATTCTTTAAATACAACTTTTGACACTAAATTAAATTATAGATGGGCATCGTATATAATAAATAAATTATAGCTTTTAATGGCTTAAATAGTTATTCCAAATTCAAATATAAATTTTATTTATATTAAATATAAAGTATCCCATGTATTTAATGTTTTATTTGATTTTATTAAATTTAATTTGTATTACAGTGGAGCATTGATTATCTGCACTAATAGGGACCGAGAAGGGCGTACCCCTTTATCACTTTGTGCGAATAATCAAATAACCATTAAAAATTTAAAAATAAAGTTAAAAAAAAATTTACTGGATATTATTATACTATATATAATAATCATACATAATATAAAAAATATGATAAAAAAAAAATTTAATACTACGAAAATGCCAAAAAACCAACTAATACGCGGGCAACGCCGTGTCGGGACAGCTAGTATATAAATATATATATATTGGGTTGTAAAATTTCATGAAATATATAATTTGAGTGAAGAATAAAAATTTTGTTTCATTTCAATAAAAATATAATGCTTTATGTTTTATTTTTTATGGAATACTTTTTGTATTATTAACTGTACTAAATAGAAATAAAAACTAGTTGACAATAGTCCCATTACTCATCAGCTATCACATTATTTCAGAAGTTTCTCATCAAAAAAATATATCGGTACCTAGTGAGTTTAAAAGTTAAGCGCATATTTATAAAATTTATTATGAATATTGTGAAACACACAATATTATACCAGCATCTGGAAATGTTGTTAAAAAAAGATAAAAATTATAATTAAATATCAGAGTACAATATTGAATTGTGTTTATATACATATAAATAATAAATAAAATAAATAAATAAATATATATATATATATATATGTGTGTGTGTGTGTAAAAGATAATAAACATAATGTAATTAAATAAATCTAATTTAATAAAAAATAAAAATTAGCTTCTTTGCATAGTTAAGCAAATAATTTAACAGTATAGAATATAAAATCATAATAATAAGCTATTAGGTAAATATACATCTTAATTAATGACACTCTTGTGCCGGAAGTGTCCGATAACCCACTCATTTAAGTGTACCTAATATTTGCTTGTATTAAAAATTATAGAAAAAATATTGGGGTTCCACAAAACGTTCAAGCTCCTGCAAAGGTTCCGCGGCTAAAAGAAGTTGGGAAACACTATCATACAATATCAACTGATAAAATGACATTTTACAGTCACTATCTCAAACATAAAAAAAAAATATTTTTCAATATTTCATTGAAATATTTTATAAAGCGTGAAATTTTCAATTATGAAATATTTCAAATTTACAACCCTATATATATATATATATATATATATATATATAGGGTTGTAAATTTGTATATATATATATATACACGTTAAAATACACTAACTAAATTAAATTAAACTAAAAATGAATTTGTACACACAATCTTGTAGTGTGAATAATTGACGTGCGGATAATTAATGCTCCACTGTATATTGATTATGTTTGAAATATTTGATTACATTTTTTTTTTTTAGGTCACTTTCAGGTTTAAAATTTTTATTATTATTAACTTATTGAAAAAATGCCTCGCAAGGCGTAATAACTTATACATCAAACATCAACTATACAAATATTGATGGATATTCAGTTAAATTGCATAAAAAATGCAATGCTATATTTTAACTTAAACTAGACACCAATTTAAAGATAGAACAATACATTTTAAAACGTTACAATAAAAACATTTAAACATAATAACGTCCAAGTTTTTATTACAACAAACGACAAAAAGTCACTGTTTAACAATACAGTTATTTTAACATATTTATTTTCATTGAATTATACAACATATCTATACTTAAATTATAATTAGATTAGATAATACCCAAAATATAAAAATAACACAAGTTAACTACAGAATTAAAAACTTAAATGCTATTTGTAACATACTAATAAATAATGTTTTGTACAATTGAATTGACTAATTTATAACACAAGGACAATAAAAAATAGAAACATTAAGCATTCTCGTAATTTCTTACAACTAAAGATAAAAAAAGATTATCAATATGATAAAATTAGAATATGTATGGTTAAACAGTTCAACTGCATAATTTGATTATAAATAGTAATACCCAATAAAAAAATGTAAATATATAATAATGATGAACATGCCCAATTACATTTTAACATTTGAGAAATGGTAAACTATAAACATCAACAATAATATTAGCAATGGGTTCTATGCCCATGCCAGTACTTAAGTTGTTAACTACAATAATATTATAAATGAATATTTCAAAATGCATGTTTCACATAAGTGTAATATTGAGAAATTTACTATTTGAAAAAATCTTACACAAAAGAAAGGTAAAAACAAAAAATAGGACTAAGATTATTTTAATACATTACATAATACCAAAACCAAAACGGGTTTCCCTTAGTATCATGTTGAAGATATCTGTTTGTGACTCAGTCAAAAGTTAATTTAGAGTTGCTTAGTAAAGACTTACTAGCAACTTGGTAAAAAGTCCTGAAACAATAAATATATTATAATATTTTACTTTATTTTATTTATATAGTTTAAATAATAATTACTCGTGCAAATATTTTTGTTTGACAGCAGACAAGTCTGGACACTGAGTATGTAACATGTTGTTCAATGCAATAACCGTACTTTCAATTTCTTTTACATCATAGCCTTAAACAGAACAATTATGTATAACAAAGTAAATCAACACATAAATATGAAAAATAAGTAACAGTTTTGTAAAAAAAATTTGCTTATATTATCACTAGGGAACAGATTTAAATTTAGTAAACAACTAAAAATATTTAAATATATATTTATTTATTACTTCATAAATATTTATTTATAATATTGAAATATTAAAATTGAAAAAAAGATATAATTCATTATAATTTATAAATAATATATAATACAAAAATAAAAATGTTTATTATGAATCATCCAAATATTTTTCATGGGAAAAACAATTAGAAATGGCATATAATTTGAGATTTTCAAATTTTAATTTACAGTAAATCGTTCTTAGTATTGCCTTATAACTTTTAAATGACTTCTTCACATCAACGGAAATGATAGGTGCATATTTCTTACATGTTAATTCTTTTGGACTGTACTCTATTTCTAAATTGTTTTTTAGAGTATTGTTTAATAGTATTTCTTTATCGACTTTTCAACCTTCAATCCTGGAGTTTTTCCCAGTTTGTTTTGTAATTTAGAGTTTGTTAAAACTCCAATTTCTCCAGGAATACGTTCTAATTGCTTAATGGCATTATCTACTATTTCTAGACTCTCAGACAATGCCATTTTAGAAATTCTAATTTTGAAATAATATCAAATAAAAATTAAAAAATAACGGAAATAAGTGCTAAATTGTTTTGCAAGTTTTTTGAAATTTATAACTACTTCCTAAATAAGATATTGTACAGACTTAATCATATATTTTTATCCATCGTAAAATATTAAAATAAAAAAGGTAACTCTACAATAATATAGATTACGTATATTTATTAGTAAAATATTTAATTATTATTTATTTATTTGTAAAATATTTAAAAATATTTAAAAATATTTAAAATAAAATTGGTATCAGTTCATTCAAACTGAAATGAAACATACACAAATGTCAATTACTCTTGTTTATTAAAACTTCATAAAAATATTTATTCAAATAAAAATCCATTCCCTAGTCATCAAATTCTTGGTAAGTAACAATAAATACCTGTAAATTTTTTTAAATCTTTAGCATTGATTGTTTTAAAACACATTTTGAATGCCAAATACAAAGCTGCTGCAGCTTTTAATGAATCTTTTAAAGTTACAAATGTATAATCCAATAGACTACATTCTAATATATATCTTGCTAATGTTAACAGAAACATTTGACACATCATACACTAAAAGTTAAATTGAATTTAGTATGTTGATATCGATTGATAATAAAAAATATAATTACACGTGCAAATCTTCTTAAGAATACATATGACAAAGGAACATTTATGTCATAATTTAAAGCTTTGGCTAATTCTCTTTCAGTAACAAACAGTTCATCTTCTGTATAAATAAACTTGCATTGTTTAACTAGATCATATGGAAATCCAGGCTCTCTCTCCTAAAAAATTAATACAAATTTAATAGGATAAAATTATATTATTTTCAATTTACACAAGCCAAATTAAAATAGATTAATTTAAACTTGCATCGATTTTACTGGCTATTAATATGGCCCCTGAGGCCAAAAGTTGAAATTTATCTTTAGAAATTTCATTTTTTGATAAATATAAATCAATAATCTTGACTGCCATATACAACACTTCATGATTTAATCCATACATTTCTTGCAAATGAACTAACCAATTCACCACAATTGCTCGATGTCTGGGGGTCAATTCATTTTGATTATTAATGTAATCAGTAACATTAAACTGATCCTAAAAAATGCAATGCGTATATTAATTATAGATCAGTGTTAAAATAGTTTTTATTATAAAACTTACTTCTCTTTGTCTGAGATATTTAAAAATTTCTCTTGCATAACAACCTACGTACATGAAATTATTCCAATGAGCTTGATCGGTCTCAAATATTTCGTCTTCATTACAAGTACTGATTAAAAAAAAAGAAATATCAACATTTATATATATATGATGACATAATGAGAAATTACAATCCAAGAATTTACATACACTTCTTGCACAGCTGATTGATACAATTCCGACTGGTTAATTTCAAAAGGTATTGAACTTCGAGAACTAACTGTTGTATATAACTCTTCAGAAGAAGCAGAATATTTGGAATTGACTGATTCATTATTTGCTGTTTGGTATGATGTATTAGTACTAACACTGGAATCGGTTAAAGATAATCGTGCAGGTCTAAATGAAAATAATACATTTTAATTAGATGTAATAAACATCAACATTATGAATAAAAATTTTAAAGTTATACTTACTCATTTGTAATTAATTTTTTCTCCGTTAAACTAGCAATAATGGGTTTAGGAAATTCATTTTTTAGTTTAGGAATCTCACTTATATTCTCTGTTGGTAATATTTTATCTTTTATGAAAACATTTTCATTAGATGATTTTATAACTTCTTCTTTATCTATAGAGACCACAGTTTCTTTCACAACCTAAAACAATATTTCAATTTTAAATCATACAGTTAATATTTAATGAATATTTTATGAATACCAAGAAAAAGATGGCTTGATATTGTTAAGAAAGACCTGGAGAAGTTAAAACCCAATTGGAATGGAAACTTAGATGTGGCTTACGCACAAGAAGTATGGGATGAATCAGTTTTAAAAGCAAAGAGCCTAAATAGCCCGTAAAAGCTTAAAAAAAAGGAACATTTTATAATCAAATTCGTACCAATATAAAAAAAAAAATAAAAAATCCAACAAAACTTTTAGGTCAAATGAAACAAGGGTAAAAGCTATTGATCTATTGATCTTTTAGACCAATTTTTACATTCTCAAAAAAAAAAAACCCGATTCTATGTAAAAAAAATTTGAGAGGATCAGTTTATAATTCTTAACATTGTTGATATATTACTAAAGCAAATTTCATAATAAGGTAGCATTAAATGTTGATGTTCATTTACAAAAATTAAAAAAGCATCAAGTAGGGAAGCATAAATGACCTGATCGTAATCAGATCTTGTACAAGTATGATAGAACAATGTTTACATGTATGGTATTTACTTCAAAAACAAATTATTTTTAGTTATGACTGTGTCACCAAGAAACATTTCACTTTACCTATAGCTAAATACTAGCATGAAAATACATTCAGGATACTGGATATCAGAAAAATGTACTTGACCAAAAATTTGGTAGAGATGGAAAAATAATTGGCTATTTTTCTAGTGATCAAAGCAATTATATAACAAATATTATTTGCATACAAAAACCATATGTACAATTTAACAAACTGACATTTTTTTACTTTTTTCAAACCAAAATTGTTTTATCCACATTTTTGAGAAATACATGACATTTTCAATTTCATATAAATATCTTATGAAAAAACTTAAAAATGCCATACGTAGTAAAGTGAACAGTGATATAAACATTCAGTGAATATTTTATATCTTTACAATATACTTCAAATGATTTCTTAATAATTTTTTACAACTAACACAAAACTACAAAATAATGATAAAATTAATGCCAAGCCGGTTTTCTCAATCGAACTAATTTTGTAATATTGGCATTTGTGCAATTAATAGGTAATGGAAAATTTTGATTTTCCCAAATCTTAAATGACTTTTTTTTTTCATATATTAAAACTTAAACCGTCCTTCTTGTTGAGTAATTTGGTTTTACTTTACCATTTTTAGAAATATAAACTGATTCAATATTTTAATCAAAATAGTTTCCATAAAAACAATGTAAAATTTGTTTTAAGTTTAAAAATCCATCATAGCAACACCTTTTTTGTAAATAAAAATTCATAAAACTTTCAATTATTATACTTTATGATTGAAAATTGAATACAAGATTTTTAAAAAGATTTAATGGTAGAAAAAAATTAATCATAACTGGAAATCACAAAAATTTTTTATAAATGTCAGATTATGACACTTTTATATTTATTTATGAAATTGGGTACTTACTTTGAATTTACAAATTATGATTATATAATATTGGTTATTATTCTATACACATTGACTGTATTGATGATTCAAAATATTTACTGAATATTTATAAAAGCAATATGAGAAAATTTTATAATTTTCGATGTCAATGAAATTCGCGCTCTTTTTATTTGACACTTCAAATAATTGATATTTCTCACATATTAACACATAGGGACATAGTAGCATTTAATACCATTTACGTAATTAACTAGATGCTTATTTTTTTTAAACACTACTTATTCTCCAAAATACTATTTTTTTATAGTTTCTCAATAGTAATATTTTAAGTGCCAATAAGTAGGTTAATCACTATATTACTTAAAATAATTAGTATGAAAAAAAATATCTTATGTATCATCATACACTGGATTATTCATAATATATTATTTTTTATTAAAAAAAACAATAATAATTTTTTTAATACATACTTCGAATATTTATGCATACATATAGTAATAATAGTAAATAATGAAAGTAAATTAATAAAACTTACATTATCTATAACAAGATCTGATAAAGCATTTCTTTTATCTGATGGACGATTCTCTTTGGAATAAGGCTCTGTCTTATGACTGCATTTTTTCAACTGATTTCGAGTTATCGGAGGCATTCTAAAACAAATTTTTTTTTTAAATAAAAAAAAAAATTCAAGCTACTATTAAAATGTTATTTTTATCCTATGTTTATATATTTCTGATAAGTAATAGATACATCACAACTCAAGCTGTTATCTTTGAATTAGTGTAGTAATTTGATGAATAATATGATCATAATTTCAACGTACTAAAATTAAATTATGTGAACAATAATATATATATATATATTATAGACATAAGTACTTTATATATAAAGAATCTTCTTCTTCTTCGCCTTTCTCCCAACAATTTGAGGCTGGTCACCTTCGACCCAAACCTCCACTAGTCTTAATTTTCTACATACTCTATGCACACACCAACGGCCAATATCATTCTCAATCATATCCGACCATCTATTTTTTGGTCTTCCTTTTCTTTTTATCCTTACAATGTTTATTTTCATACATATAAAAAGAATATTTATAAATTTAAGAAAATCATTTAAATTGTCTAGAAAATATAGAATGTTTCTATAGTTTAATGAATTAATATAACAATTTATTCCTGCTAAGTAAAAAATAAACAAGAAAAAATACAATTTTACTTATTTTTTTCTGCTAAATAAATAAATCATATTACTTTTTCAATAATGTATATATATATATATATTTACTTTACAGTTTAATAACTAAAATAAATTAGTAAATCCACAGTTTGATATTTTTAAAAAATTAAAAAAACACTCTGATACTATTGTTCACCAATATTTAAAAAATAAAAGATAAAAGATGCAAAATTATTTTTATTATATAATCCTTCATATATTCTATTTTTACATTATCTTACCTTAATTTTAAATTTATAAAGGTGCATTAACTAAAAAACTATATGGATATTAAAATAGATTAATGACATAAATGGAAATACTCAACATACAGTTACTCTTAGGAGATCCATTCATGTCAATCATAATTAATAATAAATGAAATGCTACAAAATTACAAATTAACATCAACATCAAATTACTTTATTAAGTTCTGACTTCTATGCCATTGAACTTTGTGAAGAAATTATCACATGTACGAGCAGTATTTTAAAAGGAATTAAGTGACCAATAAGTGATTTTAAGATATACATATATCTAAGTAAAAATGAGTTAATAAAAATATTTCATAATTTTTATGTGAAGTAAAAAATTTGTCTAACCTACCAGTAAATGCAACTTAAGAAGTAAGAGGCTTTTCCAAATAAAAAAATATAAAAAAAATCAGTTACTTTCAACAATTTTGTTAAACTGTTTAATAAAATTGACAAAATTTTTAAGTATAGTATACTATTTTAAGTAAATAACAAATCATTGACAAATTGGACATTGATGAGCTCATCAAAGGTTTTCTATCTCTAAAAGCAAGAAAAATAAATTTTTAAACTTAATTAAACTGAAAAAATATTATATTTTAATATATCTATTTAGTACAATATTACATATTCTTTTGGTTATAATATAAAATATAAAAAATTTATATGTATATTGATAATAATGAAAAATAAACAAGTAAATTTATTAAATACTTTGTTTTGAATATATCATATACACTTTTATTCAAATTAAAAACAACCTCTTTTTCTTATTTATTTGGAAAAATAATGATTAAATTATAAGGGCAGCAAAATTAAGTTTTGTGTATGTATAAAAAATCACAAAAACCAGTCCTGTTGACAAGACTTAGAATAAAATTAGAAGCTTACAGTATACATTGGAAATTGTCTACATGTTACGAATTACAAATTTACAAATGTCCCATAGGTCATCATAGGTGCTACTATTGAGGGGGGTGCCCCCCTTGCGAGTTCTTTCTCAACCTATATATTTAAAATATTGGTTGGTAACTCCTCACATTACATGATTATTTGGACATTTTTCTATAAGGGCTTATTTTACAATTTTAATAGCATATTTCATATTTTAGTGCATATTTCGATGTTTATTGTTTTTTTTAGAAATTTTTGAAATATATAGTATTATAATAAAAGAAAAAAAATATTATATTTTTATAATTTCCATTAATAACAAAATAGATTAATAAGTATATTTGTAGGTATAAACGGTTTTCTCAAATATAACCTTAGATCAATAATCGAGGAAATAAAATACGTATAATAAGATAAAATAATAATATAAGATATGATATAAGATTTAATTTTGCTAATTTTTTTTTATTTTTCATGCATATTTATGCATATTTAGGATTTTTTTAGCGTATATTTTGTTGGTTTTTAATGCATATAAATCCGCGCTCTAATAATAATATAATTATTTATAAACCTTGATTTGCGCCAACATTTTCAATATTATCATAATTTATTTTTATCAATTGACAAATCATGAACTAATATTATTACTTAACACAGATACAGATTATTATCTGTATCACAAACTTTTTGTATGACTTTATATTTTGATGTGAAGTGTGTATTTTATTTAGTATTCTTGAGTTTTTTGGATAGAACAAATTATGAACACAAACCAAAGTAAAAAAATTAAAATTTTTTATGACTTTTTCATATAAGAACCATCACAGGTAAGTTGTGGTCAGTTATTATTTAAAAATTTTATAAGATAAAATAATATAAATGTAGTAATTTATAATTGTATTATTCATTTTACAAAATAATCTTATTTGGATAATTTTTGGAAAACTATTAAGTCTAGAATTTTTAATGAATCTAATAATTAATTAGGTAAAACTACTTTAGTGAATACTATAGGTAATATTTTTAAATAATTTTTTAGTCGACATTTTAAAAAAAAATTTTGAAACAGGACCTAAGAATTATCTATATTGTAGTAATTACATAAAAAATGATCTTATTGCATCAACAAGGTAAAATGTGAAAAGAGTATACATTGGTTAACTATGTGTGACACTAATAGAGAAGTTATATTTTGTAATATATTTAAAGCCTTAAACCAATTTATGGTTATTCCTGTGATAACATGTTCATGTCAAAAATCATTTTCAAAACTAAGTACAGTGAAAACTAAACTCAGAAGTACCATGTTACAAGAACTTTTAGACAATCTTTTAACTATGTTTATAGAACAAGCACAAGCTAAAAATGTAAATTTAGATGAAGTTATAGATACATTTAAAACATTGAGGTCAGTTGAACGACGTATGGAGGTTTAAAAATGTATGATAATGTAAATAATAAAATTATTTATTTTAAAGTTTTAAAATTTATGTTACCTACTATTTATAATAATTAAATATAAGTTAAACTAGTTATCTAACATTATTTATATAGTATTGCCGGTCTAAAGATTTGGAAAAAATAGTGTCAATATTTTACTTAAAGTATTTCCTGCCCCCCCCCTGCTAAGAGAGTCTAGTACCGCCTATGCAGGTCATTATCGGTTATGCTCGCAACATCCATATGTGGATAATACCTGACAAATATTAGTATGATATACTAATTTTTATTTCGATATGATCAAAATAGGCGAAAAATTAAAATAAAAGATAAAAATAACATTGTGTTGCACTTACGTTGGTTTCTGCTGCACTCGGTTGATGTTGACACTTGACTGTTGATACAGAGCGATATATTCGACGGCAATAATATTTAGTAAAAAAATCGCCGGTTGCGTCAACTATAGCTATGATAAATCGGGGACATGAAAACTAAAAAAATATTCGTAAAACAAAAACAACTGCGACCGTTACAAGGGTTATCGGCATGCAAAGCGTGTTGCTGTCGACGACAACACCTAATTGATAGTATTATCATTTACAAACGGTTTATCACTAATCGTTATTATGAAAACGCCAAGTTATGATAGTAACCTATGGACGAATAAATAACCGGCGCAACATGTGTGGTGATGTCGAGGTAAGCACGACTATTACATATCAGTGTATAATACAAAATATCCCGCATTTGATAATCCAACGCTGCAATTCTTGATGAAAATACAGTATGCTACATGAAATCGGTAAAAATCGCTTTATTTCAGAATACCTTTTATGTCTGTTTTCGTGTGAAACTGTGATTCTCCCTCTTCCCAAGAGCTTAATTGGACATCGTTATGGCAGCCTAAAATGTCTTTCCTCCCCTTCAGTTAAAATTGCATAAATATTAGTTATGTGTATTTGTAAATAATTTCCTGAAGTTTCTTTTTTTTCTTCAGTAACGCTGTAAACTCTAATAAGGAAATGTTAATTATATTTATCATATTAAGTATAAAGGTATTATTAGTAAAATAGTCTCACAATAATACAGTATAATATTAAAAAGATGTCAACTAAGGATGGACTGGATCTTCAAATCCAGCCAGGGCTGAACAATTCTACCGGCCCTACCAAAGTGAAATTATATTACATTTATATTACGAGTACAATAGAGAAAATGGGTCTGGAGGATACCAAATCTCCATTTTCATTCCTAAATTGAACATAAATTGATTAATTAAAACTTAAAATTTTAGTTAAACGATATGGAACTGTCAACCCTTCATTTAAAATAAAATATTAAATGTCTACTAATTATTATACATAGATATAAACATAAATTTCTATAATAATTATTAAATAAAAATTGCATATTATAATAGTACATACTCGTAGTTTAAGTTATTTTTTATTTTCAAATGTATTAATAATGCAATACTTATTGTAACTATTTACTAATTACTAATTGTAAACAAAAGAAAAAACATAGTTAACTACAAAGTTTCTATATACTATATTATGTGTTAAAATATATTAATTATTAATTTATTTATCCAAATAGTAATTTTTTCATTAAGTTACTGCTTGCGCAACATATTCAATTTAAAGAATATAATATATCTTTTTCACACGATATATAACAAATTCTTCCACACATTCTCGACTTAAATTACTTCTTTATCTGTTCAAAATATATTTTAATTTCGAAAATGTTTTTTTCATATTGAACTTAAATTATGGATAACGTTAACAAAAACTTTTATGCTAAAAACAATTCTGTATATACTGTAGCATGCAAATTATACTTACTTAAAATTTGGTAACAGCAAAATATACAATTTTTACACGTCTTTTATATACAAGGTTTTCTTTGGCTAACTCGGACACATTAATAAACGCCTTTGCCACTAGATTTTGTGAAGCCAAAGAAATGCTAAAGATCTAAGTTTATTATCACCGTAGCAAATTTTATTTTATTCGAATAATGTTTCTGAATCACCTGAAGATACATTTGAAGATATAGGAAAATTGCTACCAAATATAGATCCTATTAATTTAAAAATAAAATATTCTATGTTTACTAAATAAACTTATATATTATATTATGTTCACTACAAGGTTTATTAGATGGACATGTGACCAATAAATTACATCAGATTAAAAACAATCTATTGGACATCATAGTTATAACAGCACTGAAACAGAATTAAGTTCAACAGAAAATAATTGTACACATTTTGAACAAACATTAACAACTGATTAATTGTTTCAAATTATATCAAATTTTGGAATCAGACATGCATTTCCGAACTTATACATAGCCTATAAGGCATTACTTACCATTTCAGCAACTTCTGTCTCTGCAGAACGAGCCTTTTCCAAAGTAATAGCAATTTAATTATTTTTCTTAATATTAACTAATATACATTTTATAATAAATCCTTATTTTTATTTTTGTTCAAAGGTAAATTAATCAAAACAAGATTACATTCACCAACTGAACAACACAGATGAGAGAGCCTTATGATACTAAGTTGTGAAAAAAATATATCTATTGACTATAATTTAGCCATTAATCAATTTGCTTTATCATCTGATTTGTTAAAAGATTATTTAATTTTTAAATAAAGTTATGCAACATAGAGTTAACAATACTATAGTATAAAGTATTTTATTTATTAAATTTTAATTTATTAAAAAGGTTATAACGATTCATAAAAAAATACTTATAAATGTTATATATAAAAAATAACCAAGTACCTACTTATAATATATTTTTTGGTACCTGTCTGAAGATAGAAGGTGTAAATTTTGACCATGCACTCAAACTGAACAAAAACAAAATAAACAACTAACATACTACCTACCAAACGGAACCAACCGGTTCAACTTAAGAATTATTAAACCAATACGGTTTAGATATTTATTGAGGATAAGTAGTATAGGACGCAAGACAAGAAGAACAAAATCAATAACGATGGATTTTAAATCAAAGGCACAGTTCACAAAGCATAGTCAGCCAATCAATCATAAAACCAAAAAAAAAAAAACACTATACTCAAACATCAAAAAATTATCCAATACACAAATTGAAGCGTTTCAAATCCATCTACACAGTCATATGCAATAAAAAATCTAAGAAGTTGAATCAACTCTGAACATAATCACTAGAAGTAATCTACCACATCATACTATTTACCATGTAAAAAAAAAAAAAATGTAATAAATTCCTAGTTATGTTGAATAATCATTATTATTTTAAAAACATGTACGAATTATTAATATTATTATCATGCATTTATATATATAAATATCATTGTAATTTTTTTCATCTTCATTTATGTTACTTCTTAAATACTATGTATGTCTTACAACTCAAAAACTTAACTTACATTATTAATATTACATATACAAAATTTTTTAAATCCTTATTGTATAATGTTCATATTTTATATTTTAGATTTATATATTGTACTCACATTTTGATGCAAGGACGCATTACAAAAAGGCTAGAGTGGATGTAATGCGACTAAGTCTACGGTCAGACTAGACCCGGCATCGGCTGAATATTTTTCGAACAGCATCTGTCGAATATTCGGAGACAAAATTCGGTCAACAAAAATGGTCAGACTACATCCGGATTCCGTTGTTTTCACAAAATGACAAAGTTAACACACATTTATTGTCTTGCAGTTCGACACACAGCATGGACGTCACTGATGAAATTTTCTTGTTAGAAACAAATCCAATAATAAAATATTTATTACTAAAAAAAAAGAATAACAATTTTGGGTTAATGATATTTTTGCAAAAAGAGAAAAATTTGGAGAATTTTACACACTTTTTCCAAAACTTTTGGTTCAACAAGTTAAATTTTTTGAGTATATGCGAATTTCTGCTGATACATTTTATTATATTTTATATAAAATTCAACCATTATTGGAAAAACAATCAAATTTTAGAAAATAATATGAGGGCGTCAGCAGGGATGGCATGAGGGGGTGGGCAATAGGGGCAGTTACCCAGGGCCCCGCGCCTTAAATTTTAATTAAGGCCTCGCGATTCTGATCTTCAAATATTTTATTAATATAAATTATAAAACCCAACATTTATTGTGCTCAGGGCCTCGCAAACTTTAACACCGTCACTGGGCGTCAGTATAAATAGTATAATAATATAATTCGTCTATGCAGAAAGACATAATTAGTTGTAAAACGTTCTGTAAAAATTTAAAATACGTGTATTAATGTGTGTAAAAAGAAGTTTAAATAAAATTATTAAAAGTGAGTAAAAGAAAAAGTTATTAATATTTTAAAGTACGAATTGGTTACCTTATCTCATTCTTCAAACGTCAACCACGGTTTTTAACCGTAAAGGCAGGTCAATACTATCATCGGAGAGGTAATATTAAATATTTATAATGTACCTAATAAGTAATGATTTAAAAACATATAAGTATTTCACATATAGAATAATATAAAACCATAATTTTAAATCATTACAAATTAAATATACATTTCAAAAAATGTACTTATTTTTATAAACTGGTTATGGAGAGGATAACCAAACATATGGGATCTCTAAACACAATTTTTTTGCAGGTGGGAGAAATTATTTTTTGTGCAAAAAAAAAGTGTAAAATGTAAAAAAAAAATAGTGGGTGGGTACTTATTTAAGGTAATTGCTTCATAGCAAAGAAAGTTCACGCTGCCACTGTATCATAGTAGTACTAGGTATTTTACGTTATTTTTGTGTACAGCTACACCTCTTCTTCCTTTTCGTATTATAATCAGGGGTGTTCCATAGGGTATACTAGATACTCTCAAGAAATTATTACAAAATTACGGGTACTCTCAAACCACAACAAAGGATAAAACTTTGGTTACTCAGATAATGCCTCGAAAGTAAATGTAGTTGATTTTTGAAATCACATTTTTCCCGCAATAAGGTAAGTCAATAATTATTTACGATATCGATAGCCGAAATGTTGTACACTATTTGGCTACAGTAAACAGGGGTAGACTGGAACTAAAAATTTCACCGGGATTTAGAATTAGAGAACTTGAGTAGCCACATCTAAATACCGACCTATTGTATGCATACATAAAGGTATTTGTACTTAAAATATCACTTTTATACATATGTAACTTATAACTTATAATATAAAAAATAAGAAAATATTTAAAACAATTTGATTTCAATTTTTTTTATTTTTATTTGTACACGTCCTTAATAGACCAAACGATAATTATTTGTATTGTATTAAAAGTCCGTGTGATTTGGTACATAATGGCATAGTATACTCTCAGAAAAATGTAAGGGAACACTCCTGATTATAATATTTTCTTCACCTACTAATTTTATTACCTCGAATAGTATTATCCATAAATTATTTAATTTTGTCTTTGACGCATTATCTTTTTATAATATTACATTTTTAATGTGTATTTCTACTAAATTTTTATTTTTATAGTACTCTTCTTTAGATTTTATTTTATTTTAAATTAATTTTAATTATATAGATATTTCTAATGGTCTTCCATATTATAATTTGTATGATTGAAAATTATGAGAAGCATCTTCTGTTGAATTATAAACAAAAAATAAGTATGGTAATAACTTATTACTAATAAGTGATACCAATTTATTCGATTTTTATCTACACAATGTGTTAGGTATTCGGCTGAAGTCTTATGCGATCTCTCTAAACTTACATTTGTTTTTGGATGAAAAGGAATAGTGTTTATTTTATAGTTTTTTTAATAATTTGCAAACTTCTTTAAACGTATTACTAAAAAACTCTACTCTTTGATCAGGTAATAGTAATCAGACAGTAATATTATCTCTGGTATTCCATGAATGCATAAAAAAATACAACAGTTCGGGACATTTGCACAATGGATTTATTCATCGTACAAGAAAATACTATTGTTTTTATCGATATTTTTTCCCCTTTTTCTATTCATTTTTTTTTATATTTATGCAGCAGCTAAACTGTGATGGGTGATAATAATTGATAACCAAAAAAATATTTTTTCAATATAATAATTGATATTCTTAGATCATATGTTTATACCAATATACTAACTTATTATACCATCGAATCATTTCTTCGATAACTGCCAAAGTCCGTGATAACGGAATACGTTTAAAGGAATACAATTGCAATGTTTTATTACACGAATCACACAAATCTAAAGATTTAATTATATCAAATTAATTATTTTTTTCTGAAATCGGTTTACACGTGACGACTATTTTTGTAAGTAAGAAATTCAAAAAATGTACTTAGTAAACTAACTTTACTTTAGTTAAAATAATTTATGCCGTTGGAATTGCTAGTGTTGTGTGGTATAAGGTACCATATCTCTAACTTTTTGCCACACACCAAACTTATTTTGCTGTTCTGGTCGCCATTGTGAATGTTTCGCAACAACCCAAGACTTATTTGATTCTAATGAACTTTCATTTGTATGTTATTGTTGCTGTTATTATAGCTTGGAGACGTTCTACTTATTATATGCTCAGAAAATCTACTACAGTTATACGTGATTAGAATGAAAAATCTTTTATGTTTTGTGACGTTGCCATCTATGTTGATTAAAAAAACATCGCGTAATGATAATATTAACTGTTGTTCAGATCTTAACCTTGTCAGTATCAAATGATTCTTTCCTCTGTATATAATGGAAAACGTCTATGACATCTCTTACTTACTTTTTGCCTGCCCTTCATTATATAATAAACGTAAATCTTTAATTAAACATGTCAAGTCTCTAAACATCCCAACCAAACTTCCCTTAATACCCTATCTAAAACGGTTGTTATTAAAATAATTAATTAATGTAATATTGGAAACTGGCTTTGTAATCTAAGTTAGTAATAATATTATCACTGCATAATACTAACCAACCCACATTCTCATTATATATATTACATTGTAATTTATATTTGTACATTATCACCATTTATTATGTTTGTTAAACATAATTTATTTTGTCTATCATGTTTGTATTATAAGAATTGTATAATCATGTAATTGTTGAGCTGTCATAGTTAATTAACTAAAGGCTATTAAATAAAAAAAAAAAACCTCATCAAAATTTTTTTCAGAGAACTTGAGGTATAATTTTAAATAGTTATAATATATATATAATTATTCTTTAAAATTATTTATAGTAATTAAAATAATTATATTTTAATAATTATTCACTAAAAGTATTTATAATAATTAAATGGCATTAAGTTGTAGATTTGTGTTTATTTCTTTTTTTTTTTTTTTTATAATACCAGCTGGATTTTAAATGCCCATTATGCAAACCTTCTTCACAATGTGTAGGCTATAACATCATGCGAACACATTACGTTTTAAACATTTTATTATGGAAAACGAAAGTTGAATGTTCTTTTTCATTGTAAAAACTCAAAAACTATTATTATTATTATTATTTTTTAACATTATTATATTAAACATAATTTATAAAATATCAAATATTGAATATTAATATTGAATCTTATATTTTTAGGAATTGGCAAGATGGATTTTACTGACGTAACAGAGGGTAATGCGGAACAAGGATACCAAGTACGTATGGATAGTACAACATTTAAAATTTAAGTAAAAAGTATTCAATTGTTTTGTTAATAATATTTTAATCTAATCTTGGATAAAATATATATACTTGTAGTAATTACTAATCACTAAAATTATTCGATTGCACAAAAAAATAACTTACCTTTTAATAATTGCTGTTGAAAATAAATAAGGTATCTATGCAACTTCTGCGTTCATTAATCAGATGTGAACACTATCATAGATGCTATCTGTTTAGAAAGGTTCAATAATAAAATCATACAACTCGAAATTCAAAATTCAAGTCGACATTTGTTTATATTATTAATGTTATTAAATTAATTATAACGAGTAACAATAATATTTAAGTGTAAATAGTATATTATTGTTAATTTGTTATTAATAATATGATAATTTCGAGGAAAATATAAATACTAATACTAAAAATAAACTAGTAACATCACTGATCAGAACAATGTTAATGATGTCGAATACGGGTCGAGAACATGGCATTGAACGTGTTAAATAATATGATTAAATTTCAGTTATATTATTTAGATTTTGATAAAGCTTTTGGCGCCCCAGTGGTCAAGGCACCCGGTTTAGACGCATATCTCGCCCTAGACACGGCCCTGACCATAACTTATACTATATAAATCTGAATTTTCTTATGATATTTAGATTATAAGAATATAATTGTATATATTACTATATACTCGTATTACTAACTCGATTATGAAAAAAATTCTAGTGCTAATCGAATTATAACTGATGCTATCTCAATTGAAAATGTCGAGTGATAACTTGATCAAAGAATATGTCAATTATTAATAACTTGATTATGTCGATCTCGCTGGACTAAGTATAGGTACCGTCAACAAGGGTGAAATGAACACGATTTTGAAAACGAACTTTCCCAGGCTCCTACATCTTCAATATTCATTTTTTAAATCAAAAAAAAATCTAGTATAGGCACGCAGTATAAAGGACACATTTGCATAAAAAAAAATTGAATTTTAACTATAACTTGGTAAAAAAATAAATAATAAACGAATGGTCCAAGTCACCTTGAGTTTCCGGTGACATGAAACAGTAAGGGGTTTTTAAATTTTTTTAAGCGATACGTTTTACTTGGAACACAATTAGGGTTTTTAAAAAAATCTTTGTACATATCATAACCCAAAGAAGTCAATAGGTAACCTAAATATTATATAAAAAATAAATTAAACACATTCTCTTTTGTGTCTCAAACTGTATGAGTTTGGTGACTTAAATTTGGTTTACAAAAAAAGTGTTTTTATGATAACAGTTTGTAACATTAACACAGAACAAACTAAAAGGGAAACTCCCGACATTTTGAAATTTAAGTAACCATACTAGTAGAAAATTCCCATTATTCTATAAGATTTAGCCTATCTGGTATAACATTTTTGGCAGTATTCGTATTTTTTCTAACACATCAGAGATGTGCTTTTACACGGTAAGGTTGGTAGCCCTGTGCCCCACCCTCAAAATTTCTTGAAATTAATCTCATTTAATCCATGAACGAAGATAATTCTATAACCTAATAAAAATAAAGGTATAAAACTGACATCTAAAAACCTCAGACTGCCATTTTTTTTTACCCATGCGTTTTCTCATTTTGTTACCAATTTTTCTCAGTTTTTTTTTGCATTTTTCACAACTGTTTAACATTACTGAAAATTGTTTGTACTTAGAAAATTATTTTTGTTTAAATTGTAATTTTCAAAATGATAAGTTCCACTGGTGGTATTAAATGTGCACTGTACAATTGCCATTCTGAGTACAACAAGAATGCTGTGGGAAATCAGAAATCGTTTTTTAATTTCCCTAAAGATCCTATAAAGTAAGAAATATTTACTCTAATGATCACTTTTATAATAATGTATTATTTTTTGATTTTTAGGATGTGCTCTGTGGATTGAAAAATTTAATCCTGTTTCTTTACCAACAACAGACACTAGTGATCTAGCAAAAAGATATAAATTGTGTTCACTTCATTTTGAGGATAATATGTTTAGCAAATTTCAAAAGAATAGGCTTTATCCTCATGCAATACCAACTTTATTTGAAAGTAAGTTATAGAATAATAATTATAAATTACTATTAAATGTATTACTATTCTTGATTAGGTATATTTTTATATTTTATATTATAAATGAGTGGGTACCCTTTGGTAATAATAGTACAGTAAATATAAATTTCAATATAACAATATGAGTTAACAATATTTAAGATAATAATAATAATAGAATATGAATAATATAAAATAGTGATAATAGTAATTAATAATTAAATAATTTATAACATGAATTAATTTAATAAAATTTATTATTATACAATTTGGCTAACTGATAATAACAGAATTATACTTAATATTTAGCTTAATCTTTATAATAAAACACAGTATTTAATTTAGTACTAGATTTAAATCTATAACATAATATCTGCAACATTTCTTGGTATAGTCGACTGACAAAAAATAGCTCTGTTCACACGTTTTATTATTGTTTTTTTAAATTTAATTATATATACTATAATTTTAGATACTGTCTTTAAACAAAATTTGAATATGGCATTTTCACCAACAACTTCGGTGGTTGAAATATCTAGTGTTATTATTATTTTTTATTATTCTTTCTTTACTACGGAAATAAAATTCCAATTACAATTATTTTTTACAATATGACAGTATTTTAATAATCTAAACCTAAATTAAACTTTAAATTATCTAAATGATATAAAAGTTTATACAAGTTAAATAATTTAAGTATTTAGTTTAAACTAATAAAATAAGATTAATAATGAATGACACATTTTTTCATGTAAGGAGAAATAAAATACAAGAACATAGTATAATAATTAAATATAGGTTACAAATAATTATTAGTTACAATAAACATAGAGATGCCGTTAATTCGGTGATTGATGTGTGAAGAAGATCAATATTACATAAGGAATTACCAGCTGACATTAATTTATTAGCAGGCAAATAAATTTTGTATTTATTAGAAGAATTTAAAGGATAAAAGATAGGTGTGTTTTCAAAATTTAAACGTTCAAGGATTTCAGGACAATTAATGTGATTATGAAGTAATTTAAATAAAAATCTTAAGTCTAGTAATCGAAACCTATTGTTTGATGATATTATTTCAAATTATTGGTTTTAATCGTCATATCCAGAATGAGAGGTTCTTTGAAGACCACATTTATAGCATAAATATCTTAAAAAATATTTTGAATTGATGTTAAACATTTATTTTGCAGAATACTATCTGCATGCCAAACTAAGGATGCATATTAAAAGTTAGATTGAACAAGAGAATAATATAAAGTTTTTAAGGCTGAAGGCTTAAAATTTGTATACATACGTTTTTTATTAAACCTAGTTTCATAAATGATTTGTTTTTTAACTGATCAACATGATTTTTAAAAGAAAGTTTAGAATCAAAATTAACACCTAAGTCTTTAAAAATGTTTTTACGTGATAAGTACAAGTTGTTAATGCAGTAGTTAATACATAATGGGTTTTTTTTTAACGAAAATGAAACAGTTGCACATTTATCAATATTTAAAGTTATATCGTTGTCATTGAACCATACAAATAAATTATTTAAATCTTCTTGAAGCTGTTTAACATCATTTAAACATTTAATTTTTTTGTAAATTTTAGTATCATCTGTTAATAACAAACAGTTAGAGTTCCTAAAATGTGTAGCTTAGTCATTAATAAAGAGAGAGAATAAAAGTGGTGACATATGATCACCTTGAGGGACATCTGTTGTTACATTTATCGAATCAGATAAGTAATTTTTATATTTTACAATTTGAGAACGATTTATAAGAAAATAATTTAGCCGTGATAAAAATGGATCATTAATACCATATGATTTTATTTTGGAGATTAAAATGTAGTGTTTTACTTTATCGAATGCTTTCTCGAAGTCCATGTATATAACATCAAGTTGTGCCTTATCACAAAAGGAGTCAATTATTGAATGTTTAAAAATACATAAATTAGTAATTGTTGATCGACCCTTTCGAAATCCATGTTCATTGCAGATAATACGTTCGTAAAGGGTTGATATGATTTTTGTTACTAATTTCGAAAATAATTTTGGAAGTTTATATATTTTAGATATAGGTCAGTAATTAGAGACAATGGACCTATCACCTTTTTTAAATGTTGGAGTTACATAGGAAACTTTCCATACGTCAGGAAATATGCTAGAATTTAAGGAAGAGTTAAATAAATAAGTTATAACTGGTGATAAAATAAAAGAACATTCTTTTAAGATCATAGCTGAAACTCCATCAGGGCCTGTGGTTAAATTTAAATTAATGGACCATAATTCGTTAAAGACATTTATTAAGTTTATATTTATAATACTAAGTGAAGATAGGGAATTATTTAAATGGTCAATATTACATTTTTTTTTTTTTAACGGGTGAGGCTTATAAACATTTGAAAAATGTAACTTGAATAAATTGACAGTTTCATTACCAGGATTAACTTCATTATCAAGGTATGACATAGTTGTAGGATTAAGTGATAAGGATTTTCGAGATTTATAAAATGTCCAGAAAGTTTTCGGATTAGTATTATCGTTATTCTGCATGTTCATAATATAAGATTTATAATCACAATATCTAATATATTTGCATTTATTACGAAGAAAATGTTAGATAAGCTTCAGGTGAATTTGATGTTTTAAAAGTATAATGGGCATTATATTTTTGTTAAATAAGTAGTCTCAACTCTTTACTAAACCATTTAGGGTATTTTGATTTTTATTTACAAATTAAAGGGATACAATTATTTATTGTATAATTAATGTAAAAATAGAAAACATTAATATTATAGTTAATATTCGAATTAAAAAGATTACAACCAGTTTATGGTTGTACATAAACTATTATGTTATATTATTATATTATTGTATATTGTTGTATATTATTGTATATTGTTATACTGTTACATAAACTGTTATGTTAAACATAATCAAGAATAACATTTTTTGTATTAGGTATATAATTGTATTGAAAGAAGTTAAAATAAGATAATTTATTTTTAAAATATAAATCGCTATTTTAAAAAGTTGCTGATGGTAGATTAAAATCACCTAATAACAAAAAATCAGCATTTGGATATTTATCATAAACCGATTCAACGATGTTAAAATAATCGTTAAAAGTTGTTTCGTTGGATTTAATTGGTATATAAACTGAACTGATTATAAAATTAAATTTTGGAAATTTAATTAGAACAAATAAAGCTTCAATATTATTATTACTTATTGGTATAATTTGAGATAAGAAAGTATTGCGTACAGCAATAAGAACACCACCACCTCTAGATAGTGAGCTAGTATTAGAATTTCTATCAAATCTATAAACATTATATTCATGAAAACCCAGTTCATGATTCAATATTATTTGTTAGCCACTTTCAGTAAATACAAATTTATCATATAGAGAATATGGAATTTGGGTTTTTAGATGATTAATTTTATTATTTAAACTACGAACATTTTGATAGTAGATAAGAAGATTAATTTCCGAGTGGTTTACTAGTTTTTTGAATTATTAACAATAGTTGGTGTACCTTTTACATAATAAGATTTGGTTCGTTAACTCTTCTGCGTTGTAATACTTCACGTCGTTGTTTCGTGTGTTCACACTGAATAACCGTACGATCTGATAAAATCCGAATATTGACCCATGTTGATGAGATGCGTAATTTGGATTGTGACCGAAGTACAGAATACACATCAGCAGTATTTGATAAAATCACTTTTAAAGGACGAGGCTTATCTAAGTTTTTTATATTAGACATTCCAAGACGAGAACTTATAAATTTAGAAGGATTTTTACCTATTTCTTCAAATAATTTTGAAATTTTTTGTTGATCGGAATCACAGTTATTTGTTTCTTCCAAGTTGAAAATAATAATATTATTTGCACGTGTTTGTCTGTCCATAATTTCCGTAATCAAATTTTGCTCAGATAAATTATTATTGTTCTCTAGAAGCTCAATTTTATTTTCAAGAGTACTAACCTTTTTTTAAGAATTTTATTGTCTTCCGTTAATATGGCTATTATTTTGACAATATCATCAAATTTTTTATTTAATTTGTTCAGTCCAGAATTCGTGTTATTCAAAGAGGCCAGTAATTTATTTTGGGAGACCTTTAACTCTTCTAATATAATTTTGAGATCATCAAGTAATTTCTTTTCCATAATGAAAATGTATTAAATTATAATAATAATGTACTTCGCTGAATTAGGAAAACAAAGGTAAATAATACAAGAGTACAACCTGTATCTGTGACTGTCTGTTGACAACTGGTGTAGAAGATATACCAGTACGATGTTCAACACCTGGTATAAAATAATATTTTCATATTAAAATTGATTACTTTTTTTTTGATTGATTTATATACCAATTTTATTTTTCAGATTCTTTTACTGCATCATCAACTAGATGTGATACTTTGGTTAGTAGTCTAACTCCAAATTACATTTTGGAAAGAACTCCAAGAAAACTGAGATACAAGATGTAACTTAGTGAAGCCATAGATCAATAAAAAATTTGGAAAAAAGAGTTTCACATTTAAGTGAAATGTTGGCGCAGACAAGCAGTGTAGGAAAATGTATTCAACTATGTGAAGAGTATCTTCCACAATCTTTATTTATGTTGGTAAAAATGATTTAAGTAATAAGGATAAAGATCCACGTGGATTTCGATTTAGTACCAAAATTAAACAATTTGCTATAACTCTTCATTTTCTTGGACCTAATGTATTCAAATTGCTTCAAAAATCTTAATCTTCCTTCTATTCGTACATTAAGAACAATCATTGCAAAATATGAACTGAAACCGGGTCTTAATGATTTTATGTTCAACTTTCTATCTTTTAAAACTAAAAATTTTCTTCCTGAGGCATTAGAATGCATTCTTTTTTCAGACGAAATGTCCATAAAAACTCATCTTTTTTACAATGTGTCAAAAGATAAAATAATTGGCTTAAATCTAACAAACAATAGTGTCACATATGAATCTTCTAATCATGCTCTTGTTTTATGATTAGAGGTCTAAACTATAGTTGGTAACAACCAATTTTTTATTATTTAATTTCAAAAAGCTGTTCTGGTAGGGAATTAAATTAAATAATTTTTTCAACAATACGCAGACTTAGAAATATCAACATTACTGTAAAAGCATTTATTATTGATCAAGGCTCAGATTTCATACAATTTTCTAATAACAACAATGTATCTCCAGTTGAGCCATATTTTTAAGTCGATGAAGAAAAAATTGTATATTTGATATATATGTGGGATCAGTAGGAATAACGTAGACGAATGCTAGCCTTAGAATCAATATATTACAATGTAACAACAAATTACAGACACTTTAAACAAACAAGTATATAAAAACTAAATCACTTCACACTGACTCGTCGGGCGTCACAACATCACTGCCCTCTCCAGACAGGTCATCACACTGCCTTGGATTGGCCTGATCAACCCCAGTGTTACCATCCCACATTCTCCCACCTTGAACAGCGTCCGCCTCGGAAGCTGTGTCTTCATCACCTGACTCCTTGACTTCATCTTGGTCAACGGAACGCCATGGCTTCATAAACTCAGCGCAGGAATAACTTCGCTCGGGTCCCTCATGTGTACCGACTTTTAGCACCTTATAACGTTCGTTACCTTCGCGTCCTATTATTTGATAAGGTCCCAAAAATTTTCTACATAACTTTGAACTCGGCAAGAACTGTGTTCTTTTGATAGCCACCAGATCCCTTAATCGGTAGTTGACAGCCTCTTTTCTAAATTTGTTAAATGCACGTTGCTGTTGGATCTGCTTCTTGGCAAACTGTCTATTCTCTTCCTGACCTTCCTCATGGCACCTAACATATTCGATCTGTACTGCTTCTTTGGTGGACTGGTATTCTGGGTGATTCATCTCTACTCCGAAAACTAGCTTGAATGGAGTCATCCCTATGGAACGCTGATATGACCCATTCAACGCTATCTGGACCTTTGGTACCTAACGATACCACTGATCAGGCTCAGTCATGCATAATTTTGACAAAACATTTATAATGATGGTATTCAGTCTTTCCACTTGACCATTAGCCCTTGGTACACCGGTAGTTATGAGGATGTGATGGATCTCTCGTTCTGAACAATAATTATTGAAATCTTTAGAAGTGAAGGCAGTCCCTCTATCCGATACTAATTTTTCCGGATTACCAAAAGTAGCCTCCATCACCGTCAACTTGTCGATGACCTCTTTAGCCGAGACACTTTTGGTAGGAAATAACCAGCAGAACTTGGTGAACCCATCGATTATGGCTAGGATGTGTCGGTATCCTTTTGGTGTTGGCGTCAGTGGACCAAGGAAGTCTATATGCCATATGGACAAAGGGGTGTCTCCTTTGTCGATGCTATGTAGAAAACCCTCTTTTCTACCTTGCTTCCGATTGGCAAGTATACAAGTGACACAATTACTTATCACCTTGCCAATTTTATTCTTTAAATCTGTGATGGAATAGTCACGCTGAATCAAGGCTTCAGTCTTCATTATCCCAAAATGACCAATGTGGTGTGCATTCCTTATTACTTCACTCTGCATCTTACATGGAACCTCAAGTAAATTTTGGCCATTACGAATCTCATATATCAATCCTCCAACTGTAGTGAAAGTTTGATCGCCGATAGTCATCTGTTGTATGCGAAGATCTTCCTGTTGAGCAACTCTCAGTCGTGCTAAGAATTCACTGTGGATTACCATACACATAGGATACCGGCTCAGAGAATCCACGTGAGGCATCCGTGAGCCAGCCCTATGTTCAATGATGTAATCGTATTCGGTAATCAGTAATGCCCATCTGGCTACTCTGGTGGCCAGTTCCTTTTTTCTAGGGTCTTGGTAAATGCAGCACAATCAGTCACTATCTTGAACCTTAGACCCAGTAAGTAGACGCGAAACTTTTTTAACGCTTCTACTATCGCTAGGACCTCAAGTTCATAGCTATGAAATTTTTGTTGAGCCTCGGATGTTTTCTTACTCATATAACAGATCGGGTGCAATCGTTCATCATCATTATTGTCGGCCTGGAGTAATACAGCTCCAAAACCGAACTGGCTAGCATCTGTATGCAACTCGGTGCGGTCAGCTTCGGGATTATAAATCTTGAGTACTGGCGCTGCTGAAAGACATTGCTTTAAACTGTTCACCGCTACCTCTTGAGGTTGTCCCATATGAAACAGCACTTCCTGCTTCAACAAATTGCTCAGTGGTAGTGCAATTTGTGAATATCCTCTTATAAACCTACGGAAGTATCCGGTAAGACCTAAGAAACTCTGTACAGCTTTGGCAGTTCTTGGCAGTGGAAACTTCTGTACTGCGATTGTCTTTGCTTCTAATGGACTCACTTCATTGTGTCGGATACGGTAGCACAAATAGTCTATCGAGTCCTTTAAAAATTGGCATTTGGATCACTTAATGTCCAATCCGTTTTTAGCTGCAACCTGTAATACAGTCTTTAGTCGTATCAAGCCTTCCTCAACATTTGCAGCTACCACAATCAGGTCGTCCATGTAGGCTAACAGGTGGCCAAGCCGAATAAGGTCACGGAAAATGAAATTTACGTATACATCTAAAACTATCCCTTTATCTTTTACTAAATCAAATATTCTTTTATTCATGTATTCTTTTCCATTATCACACCTTAATTTTTTTATTCTTTTACCAGTAATATTTTCAACTTCGTTCATATATGTAACAAAACAATCATAGACTTGATCTTTTGATTTAATCGAATATACTCTAGCTATCTTACTATAATCATCAACAAACAAAGTATTTTTCCCCATTCAATCCGACTGTATTTTGAGGCCCATTCACATCTGTATGAACTATTCCTAAAATTTCTTTTGCCTTTTCTCTGTTATTTTCAAACGTCAAATTGTGCATTTTATTTTCTATGCACACAGCACATTTCATATAATCATTTTCAATTTCTTTTGGTAACCCTATAGCTAACTCATTTTTACATAAAATATTCAAGTACTTAAAATTCACATGCCCCAAAGTACGATGCCATTTTTCTTTCAAAGTCATTTTATTTTTATTTATCTCAGTACTCATAGAATTAACAGTAACCTTATCGTTGTTTCGTATTTCACTTCGCATTCTATATAGTTTGTCAACTTTGTACGCAATAGCTAAAAGCACGCTATTACTGTTATAAATTTTTGCCGTATTATTTTGCGCAACAACTTTATTTTTAACCGTAATTTTAGACAAACTTAATAAATTCGCAGTCATATCCTTTACATAAAATACATTTGACATATCGATTCTCACATACTTATCGAATACTTTAAAATAACTCGAAATTTGTCATACTCTCGTTGCTTTCAATGCTCTATCATCTCCAACATTAACATTAACCGGATTTTTCAATTCAATACTGTTTACAAAAACATCATTGCGATTCACTACGTGATCAGTACAACCACTATCTAAAAGCCAATCGATGTGTTTATCTTTCATTTCAGTATACATTACTGTAGATTCGACGATCTTCGCTGTGAATGCACCAAACGAGCTGCTGTCCTGTTGCCACGTGCCACCCCTGCCTCTGCTTCGTCCGCTTGAGCCTCTGCTTCTGCCTCTGCTATGCGAAGCTCCTCGCTGCAAGCCGTTTCCACAAAACTGTTGGTGTCCGCCTCTCTGGGCTCGATATCCAAAGCTAGCATTGTTTACATTCGGACAGTCTTTCTTGAAATGCCCAATTTCACCACAGCCAAAACACGATTTTTCTTGCTGTCTTCGATGATTTTTCGATTCTGATACGAAAGCATTCGATTTCACATTTGAATTATCATTTATTTTGTTTTTAATCTCAATCATTTTAATTTTATCTATTACGTAACTGACTGTCTGATCTTCTGGTTTTAGCGTGTCTATTAAATCACCGATATAACTGTATGATTCAGGCAATGTTCTCAACAGATAATGTAACTTCTCTTTTTCAGTTATTGTAGCACCAGCTGCTTTCAATTCGTTTACAGACTTTTCAAAGTCACTAATAAATACTGACGATTCTCGAAAATCGTTCAATCTGATCTTTTCCAACTTATTTCGGAAAATAATCTGCAAGGCTGTTGACTCCTTTAAATACATTTCATCAAATTTCTTAATAATTTCGTACGCCGTTTCCAAATTATTAATAAATTCCAACTGCTTATTCGAGATAGCACTATATATATAATTGATGGCTTTCAAGTCATTCTCGGCCCATACGTCTTCTTTATCCGTCGATATTTTTGTTCTTTCTATAACTGTTGCACACTTTTTCAACTTCAAGAACATCATTATCCTTTTCTTCCAGTGAGCATAATCCACATCATCAAACACAGGTATAGAAATTTCCGCCATCTTGGAACTGCTCATTTCTTTTATTGACTCTTACTTTTCAAATATTCTTCTTCCTTCAAAATATACTTGTTAAATACGAGTGTATTTTCGAACATCATCACAATAAGCAACCACCAAGTTGCACAACCACGTACTCCGCTACCATGTTAAATAAAAACACACGGAAAAATATGAACTATACATTTTAATGTTACATTGTTACTAGAAGAATAACAGAATAAAAAGTATTATTAACAATGAACATAAAAACCCGACATGAGTGCAGTGTATGCCAACGGTTAAAATGAAAGATAAACTCATTTAATAATATACCGATAACCTGCTATCATGACTCATACTATTTAGAATAGATGCCGCTAGTTATACAATACTAAGTATTAAAGTACTAAATAGGTACATAATAGTATATATAAATGTACTAATATTCCAACAGAAAGTTTTCAATAAAATCGTTAAATACTTTTCATTAAGTGACCACAGACATATGTATAATGTTTTTTTTTATAATTGACTACAGATTTGTAATTATTAAATACTCGGATACATAACAATTATATATTTATATTTGTGATGATTACTACTTTGTGTAAATAGTTTTAAGTTGTATTATTTATTGTTATTTTTAATTTTGTATTCGAATTATTAAATAAAATAAAATAAACATGTGTATATTGTAAAGACTTACTTTATTGTTGAGAGTTTTAAACATTCATTAAACAATTTCATTGAAATATTGTGCCGTTCGTGGTGTGAGAAAAATTAAAAATAATCAAAAAACTATGCTTATTTAACTTTACAATAGGTTTTATTTCACAGAATATCAATATTATCAGTAACATGTTTCATTAACAGTATTGCCAAATCTCATAGAATAATGGGAATTTCCAACTAGTATGATTACCTGAGCAAATTTCAAAATGTTAGACCTTTTTTTTTTGTGTAACCATAAGAACCTATGTAAATATTTTACAGTTTCCCTTCTGGTTGTTCTGTGACATTAATTTCTGTTTAATGATAAATATCAAAAAATATGATAAAAGGTTTCTGATTACGAATGAATCTTCATAGGAATTTTTTTTTTTTTGTGACGGTATATAATATTACTCACATTAAGCCCCTTTTTTGCACCTATCATAATGTGATAACATTGATAAAATGATAAAATCATTTTCATTACAATGGTTTTATATATTGCTGAATTTAAAATAGTTAAATAAATTTAAAAATACACAATTTATTGCGAATATTTCAAGTGAAAATATAATACAAATGTTACAATTAGGTTTAATATTTTGTATTTTTGTAATAAAAGCGTATCCAGCTGTCTAAAGTTTAAACCATGGGTCCCATCGACACAGATTTAGTAATTTCTAAATAAAAATATCATATTTTCCTAAATTTGTTACAGAATCATACTGCACAGTATTTAAAATACAAAATTGGATTGGGCCATAACTCTCATACTATAAAAATTTCAATGTTGTTCCTTCCACAGAATCTTGGAAATAATTTAATACCCTTTGAATAGGAACCAGTATTGATAGTAGTATAGTATTATATAAAATAAAATAAGCTACCTGCCAATTTTGCTCTCAGCTGTAGTGAACCTTAATTAACCAATTTTATTTTGGTGCCATAATTGAGTATTGCTGTATCTTACAATTAATTCATTGTCTTTCTCACTTAATAAGGATTAAAATATGGTACTTTAAACTTAGAGGTATGGAGAAATATGAGAGTAATAAAAATGTTATCTTTTTTAATTACTTTTGGCTTTACACTTTGCTAATATTTTGTATAAACCCAGCATATAATCCTGTGGATAGCATATGCAGTGTCTATCAATTAATCTTGATTATTTTATCTGTAATAATCGGCAATTATAATGAATGATGTTATCGTTTTATCAATATTATCACATATTGATAACTGCAAAAAAGGGACTAAATGTAGGCAATATTGTATATGGACACAAACAATTTTTTTTACGATGATCCATTCATTCACAACATAAAATATCATGAAAAGATAAACCATATATAATTGAAGCTCTCGAAGATCTATCAAATTCAATAAAGAAAAGTCATAGTGTTCCAAGTCACCACTCAAGTTCCTATTCCCCTATATTCGCAAAAATGTCATACATAAGTGTTATATTAGTTAAATAAATTTCTTGAGTAGGTATTAGTTATTTAAAACTGAATGCATGATGTACCAAACTAAAAGTTGATAATTTAGCACTTGATTATATTTTTTTTCAGAGAATGCTTAAATTTGTGAGGTACCTGGAAAAATTACAATTTGAATATTTTAATGGTCGTCCAGAATGGACAACTATAAATGTATCAGATTTGAAATTGTTTATGGCATATTCGTATTTTGGATATCCAAAAATTATAAGTGATATGGAAGAAGATCAAAATGAAAACTTCAAAAATATAAAAGATTTATTTGATTTATATAAAAAAGAAGAAAAAGAATCTATTGAAGATATGTTTAAAGTAATAGAGAGGGAAATTATTAAAAATTGTTCTAAGATTATGGTTGGTATCACCATGGTTCATAGCATTTGCAAAAGAAATTGTAAAGACTGTGCAAATATTAATGACATTTTTGCTCATGTATGGCTTTTACTTCGAATTAAAATTAACGAGAGTGTGGTATATATTGATATCTGCCATATGAGAACATACAAAGATTTTAATGATTACGTACAAAATAATGAACTACCCTCAGGATTTATGTATTTTCCAAAATCAGGAATGTATGAAGAAAATGATTATTTAAAGGCAGAACTAACACCACCTTCTAGAAAAACAGAATCAATAATGTCTACTCTGGACTCAATAGGAACATGGGTAAATTTTGGTGGTGGTGCAATTTTATGTGCAGGTTTATTTTTTACAGTTGCACCTTCTATAGCTATAACTTCAGCGGTAGCAGTTGCATCATCTTGTGTTTATGATACTTATCGCCAAACACGTTCATTATCAAGAATTAATACACACAATGGATCGTTAGTCAGTTCAGAAGCTATGGAGCATTGGTTGAATTTAGGGACTTCTATACTTGGTGCTATAACAGCTCCTTTAAGTGCTGTTTCAAGATATATCGAAACGGAAAGTGTTTATGTTTTAAGAATATTAAAATTTGGAAGGTCATTAAATTCTTTTCAAAAAGGCTTATATATTACACAAGCAACATTGGAAATTATGCGCTTCACTGTAAAAGCTATAAACAAAAATATTACAATGAGGAGTGTGACAGAATTACGTTTAGATTTGTTTGTTGTAACGGGAAGACTATTACCAATATCCTTCGTAGAAACAATTCTACAGGTAAAAAATAGTATTGTATTATTTAATTTAAATTAATGTATAATTTTAAATTGTTATTATAACGATTATAATACTTTTGAATTTATGATATTTTACATAAGCAGCATTTGAGGGGGGGACGAGAGGGCAATTACCCCTTCAGAAAAAATATTGAGGGGGCGAACTTATCATTTTGCTCTCTCCTAAGTTAAATATCATTTAAACGATTTTCAATTTTTATAAAATATTTATGTTAAAATTACGTTTGTACAATTATATAAGAAAATTATTCCCCAAGTTAGATCAATATTGTCAATACTATAATACTACCATAAATTAATATAAACTAATGCATTAATGGACATCGATTAAATAAACAATATAGGTAGAATATTTAATCAATACTTTTAAAACATAACATAACATAGTACATTGATTTTAATTGATATACTTATCGCCTATCAGTTATCATACACATGGTAAATAAGTAAAAATGTTTAATATATACATAAGTTGAATGTGGGTAGATTTTTAAATAAGTCAGTAAATTTTTATTAATTTTTGCCTTCCCCCCACGACAATAAGAGCCAAGTGCTGCCTATGATAGTTTAAATTATAAAAGTGATTACCAATCATTAGGGCTGAGATTTTGTATACAAATGCATATTTTTTTCTAATGCCTCAACTCGTAAGTCCATAAGAAGAAAATGTGTTTCATGTTTTTTAATTGCATATTTTGCTGTTTTTATGACTTTCTTTCAAGTTTTTAAAGCATTTTTCAGAATTTATCTATTAATTCTTAAATATTAGTGTATTTGATTACGGGTTTTGGCATTTGTTCGCTTAAAACTTCCACGCTTAGTAAATAATCTACTAAATTGATAAACTAATAAATACGAGCATATCGACATAAGCACATATTTTATTAAAAATATAACACAATTAAAATAATCGAATGAAATTTTTCCATTTTGTCCAACGGCAATCAAATTAAAAAGAAGTCAAAATGTGAATATCAAACAAATAGGTACCTATTTTATTATTATTATGTTAAATAAATATAATTAAATATGTTAGGTAACATGATTTTTATATCATTTTTTAGTATTTTTAAAGCACTATTTCCTTTTTTTTTAGAGTATTTTTTGCTATTTTTTAAGGCATTAAATGTAAAAACAATTTTTTTTTATATATAATTTTTTACTTATTATTTCAATATTACATGCAATTTACTTCAATAATGCTTAAATAATGTAAGCCGTGTATACTGAAATTAAAAAAAATGAAAAAAAAAATGTTATTGAATCGAGTTTTTAATGAGAATTCATTTATTTGGTAGCTGTTGCACTTAATATTTATCTCACAATCTTTAATATTTCAATATTTGCATTATCTAATTAAAATTATCTTACCTGAATATAAAAAGAAGAACACTATCAAAAGGATAACAAAAGTTTTTATTATGTTTTATTTTTGAGCGAGTTATGAGCTCTTTTTATACATATAATAATTTACATTGTGTATGTATAGAACTGAGATTTTAATGCTCTAAAAAAATAGCAAAAAATGTTCTAAAAGAAATGAAAAAATGCTTTCAGAATCATTAACAAAGCACTATAAAAATGTATTATAGTTTAAAAATTATATAATAAAAAGCATGTTAACAAACATTAATTATACTTATTTAATATAATAACAACAAAATAGGTACCTGTTTAATATTTACATTTATTTTATTTTATTTCATAACTTGTTGGTATGATCGTTTTTGGACTCATGTGAATAGAAAAATTTCTTTCGGCTACGTTAATTTTATTCTATTTTTGAGAAAATCGGTACATGGGTCGATATGCTCGTATTAATTAATTTATTAATTTAGTACTAAATGTACAAGTTTTGAGCGAACAAATGGCAAAACGCATGATCGTTTACCCTAATATTTTTAGAAATCATAGGTAGATTATGAAAAATGCTCTGAAAACACTAACATATGTCCTAAAAATGCATATAAATTTAAATTTGTCATAAAATGCGAAAAAAATAAATAAACACATTAAATTAATCGGATCAATTGAAACTAATTTTTTTTTTAGGGATTTATGTGTTGGGACATTAGAAAAAATGATGCATTTGCATCAAAATACCAAACCTCGCAACCAATATGTATAAATAAATGGTGAACATTTGTGAAACACGACAAAACGAGTGTGAAAACCTCTTAAATGATTACATATGATAATAATCCGTCATACGCGTAACGTGAGGAATTAAATATTTGATATTTTCAACGTACCTATATCGATCTGTTGATGCGACGAAATGATTTTGAACAGTTCGTTAAATCTACTCGAGAACGACATTTTCACATACTTCGATTATATCCGTAAAGCCTGGAATAAATTTAGTTTACATTTAAAAATAAACGTAATCGTTTATTCAATGGACGAGAGGTGAGAAAATCGTTCTCGGAAAGATTTAATGACAGTAAAAAATCAGTTTTCAGAATGTTCGCCGAACCAGCAAAGCGATCGGTGGGTACGTTGAAAATTGAAAACGTATTAAATCTCTGCGTCAGACAATCGACGTTATGTAAACGCAACCGAACAACCGGATAGGAAACGCGAAGCAAAACCTCCGAGACTAACCGAAATTGATTTGGTGATCTTATCACGCGTGTGCACGCAGATCGCGGTGTCGGCGGTTCTGAATTTCGACGACGTGTGCTGGAGGATCGTCACCGAGATCGCTTATTGCGTGGGTCAGCGTATCATGCGGTCGCCGACGTTCGTGATGGAACACGCGAAACAGTTCGTCGACAAGCTGGGCAAGTTCGTGTCGAACAACCTCACCATGGACAAGATGTTGTGCGCTTGGCAAGTGTACAGTAGGCTGATGAACGCGTACCGCGAGCTGGCGGCCGCGCTGCGCGGACCGGAACTGCTGCGGCACGTGGTGCACCACCTGTTGGCGGTGCCGTGCGACGCGGCCGCGAAAGAAGCGCTGTGCGGCCACCGGATGAAGGAGCTGCTGGACGAGCTAGGCGTCGCGGACGACCGGCACGCGGTCGAGGTGTGCGTGCGGCTGGTGGTCGGTATCGCGGACGGCGTGCGGGAGAAGTACCGCGACGCGGTCGCGGCCCTGGCCGACCGCAGTTTCACCGACTCGGACCGGATCGACACGGAGTTCTGTGTCCAGTACGGGCTGGCCGCGTGCACGTACGCCGAGTTCGTGTTGCACGGCATCAGGCGCGTGGCCGCCGACGGGCAGGACGAGTTCTGGCGCGCGTACCGTGACCGGCCGATGACCGTTCGCGACCAGCTGCACGTGGCCAGCTACCGGACGGGCGAGCAATCGTTGGACACGTTCGTCACCGCGGCGCCGCCGGAAGGCCCGTCGCTGTCCGCGGACTTCTGCCGCAGTGTAGTGACCGCCATCGACCCGGCGAACAGCGCGCGATACAGCAACTCGCAGCACATGTCGCTACCCGACGACACGTTCGTGTTGACCGATGTGCCCGTGCTCGGATCGTTCAGAATTGTGTTTTTCTACGTCGACTCGTCCGCCGGCCGATCTCAGTCGCTGAACGTCAGCATCTACAATCACTCGGCCGGCAACATCCCTGGGTTGCGATCCAAATAACTTGGCGAATTCGTTTCCTCCCCCTCACACGTTGCATGTCTTGGACATGGGTTCGTGGCACTCGTTCCGACTCCGTTATGTTTCCTGGTCGATTATAATCACTGCTGCTGCTCTCCTAACCACTGTATTTTATCGTACGACCAAAACAATTTTTTATCATCACGTTGTGCTTAGACGGCACTGCTTCCATAAAATATTACGTAAATGTATAGCTGCACATGGATGTGCATGCGTGTTCAAGTTATAAATAAAAATTATTATTATATTAACCAGTCTTGTACGGAATATATATATATATATGTAATGTATTTTTATGATAGATTTAACTTTTTATACAACAATCTACTTAATGTTAATATTATCTTTGATTGCATAGTTTTAGTTAGTTTTATTTTAATGTCAGAACATTTAACCGTAAATTTAAAATTTAAGCAATAACTAAATAATCAATTACAGTTAAACAATTTTATTTCATGAAAAAATAATTTTGATATTATAGTAATGTGGTTTTTACAATAAATGAAAATGTCTGTTGTTTTTCTTTTAGTACCAATATTTAGAAGTAAAACTGTAAAATTGAAATGGTAAATTTATATTCCGGATTATACAAATAAACGGATTGAAAATTTCTTAAAAAAAAAAAAATTTAATTATTATCAATATTATTATAATTAATATAGTAAAATTTGTTAAAAATGATTAAGTTTTTAAAGAAAAAATTATGTACGATGAATGCAACATAACCAATAATCCATTGTGTATGCTGGATGTACTTGTAATTTGTACAAATGCGCCAGTAGAAGATTTCCTCTCTTGATAAATAATATGTTTTTATTTAATATTTGTCAAGTTATACTACAGGATTAAATCATTATTTCTAAATGATATACATTAACGAAAGATAGATAAAGGATTAATGTTTAGATAAAAATTAAATAATATATTTTTTAATATTAACTATAATAAAACAGAATATATACTTACATATTCATTGATATTTTCAACCAAAACGTGTTTAAAGTGTACAATAAAATATTTAAAGTACATTACACAACTTTTCAGTAAAGACATGCGTTTTCATATTGCTCCCTTATCTGTTAATTTTATAATATATTTCAGATCAACGCTTAACGTGCAATTTGTGGTTCCACGTTATTCCATAGTAATAGCTCTCGTAGCATATTATCTTTATCAGTGCTCAGCGGGTAATATTTTGATTAAACCATTTTATTGCCCATCTGCTGTAACAATTCTATGCTTTTTAATTGCTTAATAGGCACACCGTATTTCATTGCCCTAGATCAGTTACTCCATTTACCACTTACATCTAAATGTCCCGAACCCCTCAACCAAATCAAATTCGTCTTCTAGTTTTAAAAATAAAATAAATTTAGATAATGTATCTTTAAAGGATATTATGTCCTCTTTCAAATTCATTCATTCTGAAATTCAATCAGTTAAATCAAAATTACTAATTCAAGAAAATACGTCATCAGTTATCCTGGGAAAGCTAGAGTCTCTCGCTTCTTATATTTCATTATTAAAAAAAGAAAATATTGATTTAAAAAAGGAAATTGATATTTTGCGTAGTAGAAGTTGCAATCATACTGTTACTTTGGAATTAGATCAACCTAACTTGGATATTGTACAGGAAATAAAAGAACGTGAATCTACGAGTCGAAACATTATTATTTTCAATATTAATGAACACGATGACGATAAACATTTTATTAATAATATATTTTTTAATTTAAATTTGGATTTTACTTTTAAATCTGTGTCTCGCTTGGGCAAACTATCCAGTAAACCGTGGCTTATTCGTGTTGAACTTAATTCAGTCAATAAAGTTCTGAATATTCTTAAAGTCATACGAAATCTATAATAAAAACCTGATTTTAAACATTTTTGGATTGCTACTGATCTCACACAATTTCAAAGACAAATATTAGCATAATTGAAAAATGAACGAAACCGTTTAAATTCATCAGGCGATAAAAATTGGTACATCCGCTATACTCACGGCCTTCCAAACTTGGTCCAAAAAAACTAGGTTGTCGCTCATGTACTTATTATCAATCAAATTTATCAAAGCAAATTATCGTTAATAATAATCAAAATTGTACTAAGTCGAACTTATTATCGGGTTATTATCAAAATATACGTGGCCTTAAAATGAAGTTTTCTTGTATCCATCTAAATATGCCTAGTTTATTACGTTTTGATTATTTTATATTTACGGAAACTTGGTTAACTCCGGATATAAGTGATACTGAACTATCTATGTTTTATTATAATATTTACAGGTTAGATCGAAATCCAATTAATAGTTCTAATATTAAAGGTGGTGGGGTTTTAATTGCAATTCACAGACGTTTCCACTCTATCTTACTCAAATCTACTAATATAAATTGTGAACAAATCTCTGTAATGGTTAATATTAATAATACTAAAGTATTATTAATACTTAAATACTAAAGTAACTATATTCATGTCATATTCCGCCTAATAGTTCTGTGATAGTTTTTAAAAATTATTGTGTTCCCTCGAAATGTTATCCTTAAATTATCCTAATTCTTTATTTTTAATAGAAGGTGATTTTAATCCACCTGGTACTCATTGGGAAAATTCTGATTTACATGCTAACATTAAAGGTCTAAAAAATAACAAATTCAAAGAGTTAATTATGTTCCTACAACTATTTCAATATAATTCCACTCAAAATCACTGTTTTAATATTTTTGACCTAGTCCTATCCAATAGTAAAGCTATAGCTGTATTTAAAACGTTATTTCCGTTAGTAAAAATTGATATAGCTCATTCTCCACTTCAGATATTCGGTCCAAGGGTAAACTCATCTAAAAATTTAATTTAATTATATCATGAGTTTAATTTTTCTAAAGGCAATTATAGTGCATTAAATGAGTACCTGTGTATCATAAACTGGAATTCTATCTTTCATAACCAGCCAAATATATCCTCAGCAGTTAATATATTTTATAACATTGTTTCAAATTGTATTAAATTATTTATTCCTAAAACCCATACTAGGAATATTACGTTTCCAAAATGGCATAGTACTCAACTTAAAAACATGATTTTTGAAAAAAAATTAAATATATTTTTTTCATATTAACTATAATTAAACAGTCAGAATATATATTTAGATATTCATTGATATTTTCAACCAAAATGTATTTAATGTGAACAATAAAATATTTTTACGATGATGATAATAATAGTAATAATAATAATAATAATAATAATAATAATAATAATAATAATATATCAAGATAAATTAACAAAATATAATTTAATTAATAAATAATAACTATAATTCAATAGAAAATAATATTATTTTCTTTAGTCAACGGTTAAGTTATAAGCATAATATAAATGTATACTTCTACAATTTTTACATATATATATATACTTTTTTTTTTTAACAGAAAAATCTTTCAAACAGTTTACATAAAAAAAAATGTTTAAATTATTTCACTTGTTTTTACACATTATAGAAAATAACTGTCATAATTTTTAATCAATGGTAGAAATTTGGAATCATAATTATTCAATGATGCTAAACGTATGTGAAATTTAACTTAGTCTTTTTTTTTATATTATAAGGTTGCAAAAATACAATTAACTTTTAAATGAAAAACAAAAGCGGTATAAAACTATAATAATTATTTACCATGATAAAAAAAACTTATTTTTTTTTTAATAAATATAAAATGGCCATTATTTGAGTAACATTTAAAATCTACCTATTATTATTACTATTTCATATTAAACTGGTCCATCGATAGAACTGACTTTAATTCGAGAGTAGTACACAGATTTCCATAGAGCCAAGAGTGTTAACAAGAAAATAGCTGTGAAATATTAAAATCATCGTCATAAGTAAAATCATATTTCAAACATTAAATTTGAATAATTACCAATGTTACTAATCAAATAAACTCTATTAGTATTTCCATATGAAAATGTGAAATATGCAATAATTGCACCAACAATGAACAGAATTACAGCTACCACAAGGAAAAATATGGCTTTCGCTTGGGCAAATTCAGGGCCAACTGAAGAACTGAAATCAATGATAAAATACATTAAAATTAATTCATGATTAATAATATATTTATAATATATTATCTTTCCAACTTATACTTACACTTTGCGGCAATGTGGGCACCTAGCCAATGCATTTTGTAACATATTAAACTGAAACATTAATAAAATATAAATTATGAAAAAAATTAAATATTTAATTTACATAAAATATATTTATCAAGAATTACTTTTTTTTTTTTACAAATTGAATACATGAAAATATTTTTATTGGAAAAACACAATTTTAGAACATAATAAAAAATAAAAATTAAATTGCTTAAATTATTTAAAAAAAAGTTAGATATTATTTTTGTTTTTATTGAAAATTCATAATGAAATACAATATAAAGTGTTAACTATTTAATTTTTACACATCAATTGCCAAACATAATTATTTTGATTATTATAAAAAAAATATTTATGAAACTAAATTTATATTTACGAGGAATGTATCCTGACAATGGATACATGTAACACGGCACATTCCAGGAACCTGAGGAACTGGTGGCGTCACAGGACTTGGTGCTAAGTTGATTACTCGTTTGCAGTTTGTACGTGGACAAGCAATACGCTGTGATGTGCTTTTGCAAATTAAAAGACAGTGACACAAACAGCGTACATATTTCTTACCAGATGGAGCACTTCTTATAGGCTATAACAAAAATTGAAACTCAATGAGTACATTGTGTTTTAAAAATTTATTAGATATAAGTAATATTGTTTTAAAATATTATTAACTTTTAAACGTGAAGGTTTCTAAAATGTTTAAATTAGAGTGCATTAAATAATTAATTTAATTGTAAACTCACAGTAGCTTCGTTGCAACGATTACACTTAACAACATGCTGTTCTTTTTTACCAACCACATCAATCATATCTTGACAAACTCTACAAGTGACTTTAGAAGCAGAATTTTCAGGTCCCATTTCAGGAACAGTAAAATCCGAACCTCCATTTTTAATATTAGTGGATATTGTAGTAGATTCAATTATTGACGATGAAGGGGAACCTAATGAACAGTAAAAACAATATTAAAATATAATACATACCAAGTTTTTATATGAAGCACATCGAGAAATATGCATTTTTCTATAGAAATGAAATTTTCATTTTCAAATTCAACTTTTAACTATAAGCACTGTATACCTTTTATTGTAGAGTTATCATAATTTTCAAATTGAATATTAAGATACAAGTACTAAAAATGAAACAATTTTTTTACAAAATTAAATTTTCTATTACTTCTGATTAAAAAATTAACTAAGTAAATAGATAATTTAAAATTGGCCTTATTGTACCTAACTAAATAATATAACAGAAACATTCTAATTAAAGAAGTTTTTAGTTTGATTAAAATGTCATCATTTATTGTTTTAAATGTTTTTCTTTCTGATACATATTTTTCATATTTTAGAACAATTTATTTAAAAAAATAAAAGTATTTTAAGTAGTATTAATTGTTATACTATATTGTTATTTATTTAAAAATAATGCAAAATCAAGAATTGTTATGTAAATTTTATACAAATACATAATGGCATTCTACATGATGACTTCTAAAATTGTCTGATACATATTAATTGGATTATTTCTTTTTTACCAACTATAATAGGTTTAAAACAATATTTGTAAAAATCAAGACTATTATAGATAGAGATGATTAGAAAATAGTTTTTAGAGTGAAATTTTCCTGGTAAAAATACATAAAAAGAAACAAATAGTTTATATATATAGAAATAAATAAGTGCTTAATCTATAGTTATAATTAGGGAACGGATTTATATGTAATAAAAATACAGAAATATGTACATATATATGTAAGTATAATTAATAAAATATGTGCTAGAAGGGTGTTTAGAAGGGTGTCTGCCACTCATTATGTCATTGATTGTTTTAAAATCAATATAGCCTGGAATTTTTTTCTGCAACAGCATGAATTTTCTTTTTTATAACATCTATTGGTCCACTTACAAGTTTTAATCCCTGATTCAACAATTTGCATACAAACATCTAGGGACATATTTTTTATTAATAATTTTGTTAAATTATTTTTAATTAAAATTAAATTATTTTCAATGTTTCATTTTGCTCAATATTTTGAGCTTTTCCAATAGCGATAGAAATTTCTGGATCTAATTTTGAAATAATTTTTTGTATTTTCGTAAGAAGAAGACGTATGAATGATGAAATTATAAAAATATGTTTAAAAATATTTAAAAATTAGTGAAATATGTAAAAATATGTAAAATAAAAGTATCATCATTTTAATAGGAATGATTTAAATCATAAACATTTCTTATCGAATCTTAAATATCTCGTTTTATTAAAAATATGCATTTACATATAAATCCGTTCTATAGTTATAATATATTTGTTAACTACAACCGGTTTTGAATTCAAAATTTATCAGGTATAAATGTATACAGAGTCAATAAAATTGCATGTGAATACAAAAACATAAAGGAATACGTCAAAAAAAATGGTCATTTTACATAGAAATAATTTATTTTAATAGAAGAGATTATTCAAAATGAGTTCTTATTAGACATAGTTATGCAAAAAAATATAAATACTTTGGTTATTATTATCTAAAATGTATTATGAATTTTGAATTTGAAATCTATTGATGTTATTTTTAAAATTGACTTCTACATTTAAAATGTTATTAAAATAATTTTTCTTTATTTAATTTAGTAAATGTAATCTCTTTAAAACGGAATTAATGTAACTAATATTTTTTATATTTAATATTTCCAAGTCTGTATTCATATCAAAATGTATATTATGATTATTTGATAAAACAGTTTAGCAACATTTGAATTAGGGACAGTATTTTTTAATTTTATTTCAGAAATGTGTTCTTTATATCTATTTTAAAATTTTTATTTACCCTGCCTATATAAAATGTATTACGATTGTATTCAAGTTAATATATACCAGCATTTTCAAAAGGAGAATTATTAAATAAAATGATGAGAATAATAATGTGTTTATTAAATATTTTTTAAAAAGCAGTAAATCATATCACTATTTAAGTTAATATCACTTAGTAAGTAAAAATTAAAAATATATATTCCTAGTCATAACGTATCTATAATATCTAATGTCAACTGATAACAATTGGATTGTATACAACATAATTTTTAGAACAGATTTTAATAGAATAAATTATTTAAATATAAATGTATAACTTGGGTTCAAAACTACATAAATCAAAATAAAATAACTAGATAAATGATTAATGTGTTCATTGACACACACTGACATTTGTAAAATACATAAAATATATTAAATAAATAGTATGCAATAATGAAACAACTTTTAATATCATTTAATATTAATCTCTATCATTAGATGATTAAATATATGTTTTTTTCTTTTGGATAAATATTAATTTATTTATGACTATTGCAACATTTAAATTTAAATGGTAGTCAATAGAACTATAGAAAATATCAATCACAAATCATAGAGGCGATTCTAATTTAAAAATATTAATTATGCAATGGAAAGTACCTAAAATAATGATCTTAGTTATAGAACTCTTTTTATATTACTTATATTTATTATAATGTTTTGATAAATTTGATTATGCTCAATAAGCAAACATTGAAATTATATAATTTAAAAAATAAAACAAAAATAACCATATTAATGTGAAAAAATTATACTTAATTGAAATATTCATACAAAATAAATTAAAATTGCATTTTATTACAATATTATTGATAGCATATAAGTAGGGAACAGATTTAAATGTAATAAAAATACAGAAATATGTACATATGTATGTAAGTATAATTTATAAAATATGTGCTAAAAACATCCAAATATGTAGGAAAAAAATTTAATTTAAAAAAAAAAATTATAATTATTAAATTATCAAAATGATTTGTTGCATTGAATTATTACAATACCTTTTAAATTATCAAATATTAAATGTCACCTATTAGATCTGAAAATATATTTAAAACGACTAAATGATCTTTCCACATCAACTTACATCGGTTGATTAAAACATATTTGAAGCGCATAATATCAGAAGGCGATAATTCCAATTTTTTAGAAGGGTGTCTGCCACTCATTATGTCAATAATTGATTTAAAATCAATATAGACTGGAATTTTTTTCTGTAACAGCATGCGTTTTCTTTTTTACAAAATCTCTTATTGGTCCATTTTCGAGTTTTAATTTTGCAATCGTTGATTTGACAATTTATATACTTTCATTTAAGGACATATTTTTGTTTCTAATTTTGTAAATGTATGTGCATTAAAATTAAAATTCACTGAGATGAAAATTAAATTAGTTTTTAATGTTTCATTTAGCATATTTTGAGCTTTTCTAATAGCGATAGAAGTTAATGGATTTAAATTTGAAATAATTTTTAGTACTTTTGTACAAAGAAGGTGTATGAATGATGAAATGATAAAATATGTTTAAAAATATTTACAAATTAGTGAAATATGTAAAAATATGTAATTATACCAAAATATGCAAAAATATGTAAATTTAAAGTAGCATCATATTAATAGGAATGATTTAAATCATGAACATTTCTTATTGAATCTTAAATATTTCATTTTAATGAAAGTATGTATTTACATATAAATCCGTTCCCTACATATGAGTATTCTCAAAGCCTTTAAAGTCAAATCAAATCAATTATTGAGCAGTCATAGAAATGACTGTACAGTTTTAACAAATGTTGTAGCCTTGCAGGTAAATAAAACAATTATAAACAAAGTATTTGGGCGTGTACTAGCAGAACAAAGAAATCAATTGTTTTTCAAATTAGTTTGTTTTCAAAAATCGAAACCTGCCTAAACAATGAAATATTTTTGATGACCATTGATTTGAATGATTCAATTCAAAGTGAATGAGCGGTTTATTGAAGTGACCATCGGAAGTTGAACACATTTTCAAGGGGGAAAAGTGCTGTTAAGTTTCAATAACAAGCATTGCGTACACTTGACAAAGAAGAATATCAATCGAAAAGTTATATCATCACAAAACTAAAATAATGAACAGGAAAAACATGAAACAAAACCAATGACATGGGTTCTATGGTTAACTGCTGAACAGCAGTATCCTGCCAGACAAAGAAAACTCCCAGGAATTATTTTTGTCGAAAGGGCAGAGCAACCAGTTAGGTTAATAAGGGCGGTACGCGGTCTGCAATCGGTTTACCTGCTTCTGACGCTTTCATCGTGGCCGACGGATCGACGGCCACGTCGTCGTCCAACAACGGTTTCTTATCGTCCGTGGACATCTCTTCCGGTCAGCGGGGACAAGAGTACCGTGCTACTGGGACAATGATTGCGCTGTTCCCGGTGTCGCGTACGTGCGTGCGAGAGAGTTTACTTCGGTTAGTCACCCGCGGTCGTCGTCGTTACGTTCAACAGCAGTCGTCGTTACATTCAATAGCAGTCGTCGTTACATTCAACAACAACATTCGGCCGGCGAACGGTCGGTCCGTGTGCTGTTCATCGCGTACGGAACGTAGTCAATAGTATAATAGTAGCGAGGCGCGTGTAACAATGACGGTGACGATGAGGAAAAAAGGAGGGGACGTCAAAAGGCGAACGAGTGAGACGGGACGATTGAAAGAGAATTAGTTAGACGGAGGGAAAAAAAAAACAAATAAGAATGAAACGTCGATCGGAAATATCACGGCGCGCGATGTGATAACGGCCCCACGAGCGAGAGATCAATATGGCGACTAATCGCAGTGGTCAACGCGCGCGCACGCACTCCCGATCATTCCGCCCGTTTGCTCGTTACCGATGTTTTTTTATACGTCGACGATTATAATAATAATACGAATAAAAAATAATTACAATAACCAACAATGATATACTCGTATATATATATATATATATTATCACTGCGGTGAGCAATGCGGTTCGCGGCGGACTTGTTATGTCACTTGTTGTCGCCGCGATGTTATGTCGTCTCCGCGCGTTTAGCGCAGTTGTCCTACCACGTACTCGGAATAATAATTGTTTTATCGTCCGTTGTTCACCGGAAACGGGTTAAGAACTACTGTGCTTATCGCAGTCCTAGGGTTGCCGTACGTCCCGGAAAACCGGGATTGTCACCGGTTTTGGACTTCGTGACCCGAATAATGTTTTCGGCACGACTTTTCGTCCCGACTTAGACGTTTAGAAAAAATGTAGAATTGTTTAATTTTTAATTTCGACGATTTTATCTCAAATGTTCAGTTTTAATCGTAATCTAGGTATTAACAATATGTTAATTATATACAGGCCTGACGAGAAGAGGGGAAGGGATCTATAACACATAAATATAAAAATATTTGAAAAATTTTGTTTTTCATTGCTATAAATGTTGGGGATACACTGTCTCAAAGTTTCCACTAACGCACCGCCACTGGTTATAATTAGTGTGAGCCATAATTTTTTGGATTACTTACCTACATTAATAAATCAATGCCTATTTAGTTTGTTACCTAATAGCTGTTGCGAAAATTTTGTTTAATGGTTAATTTTATCACAAGGTAACTTAAAAACGGTTTTAAATCCATGGATACTCACTTTCTTATTGCTAGTTTTAGTTTTTGAATTACCTACTAGATCAGGGATTCCCAACCACTGTGCCGCGGCACAGTGTGCCGTGTAATTTTTGTAATTTTATAATTTTTTAAGCATAACTAAATAAAATAATCAAAATTATAATTTATATTTATGATAGCATTGACTTCAAAATTCCCTTGGATATAAAAAATGATAAAATGTCCTGATAAAACAGCTATAATATTATATGGGATCCTACACTACCCGATACGGTTGAACGCAATTGATAACAGTTGTGTTGATTTTTACCACATACTAAAATGACTACATGAAAACATAGCCGGTGCTCATTATAATAAAAATTGAGTGCATGTAATTGTTACGCATTATACTGTACAGGTATTTTGATCAAGAAATATTATAAGTTAAATTTAAAAATGGATAGATGTTTAAAAAAGCATAAATTAACAGATGACAGTGATGTTAGAGCAAATGACAACAATTTAAATATAATTTAATATAATTTAAATTAATATTAAACAATCAGCTTTAATAAGTGATAAAAGTTTAAATTTAAAAATTAAACGTAAATATGTTGATAGGTAATTATTTATGTTTTGGATTTACGTGGAATGGTGACATTGATTATCCTTTAACAGTTTGTATCGTTTCAACTGTTTCACCTGTAATAGAGGAATTATTTATAAAACACCAGTCTCAAATGTCAAATTAAATTTATATTATATATATTATGTTAATATAATTATATTATAATACATTATATATAATTATGACATTATGTATATTCATTATTATTTATTTAAGTATGCCGTTAAGTAAAAAAGGTTGGGAATCCCTGTACTAGATAGTAAAATATAGGTACAATTATCGTTTATCCGTGAATTTAAAACCTTTTTAACGTCACTTTACACATAACGCCATTACTTCGGGACTTTTTTCCGTCGAAACTTTCTCTGCGAACGTCCGACTCGTCGTTTTTCCCGTACCATCGGCCGTGTGTTTTTGTGGTTGCGGCATAGCACGATCTCCGGCGACAACTTCGTGTGTGTGACGATTATTCGAACCGTAGCTGACCCGTGCCCGCAAAATTTTCTTTCGGTTATCGTCGTGCGCGGAGAAGTCAGTTATTGTAAATCGAGACCGACGCCGCTGATCAACCGATTCTTCTGCCGGTTGTGGCGTCCGTCGCACGTGTGAACACGGTCACATGGGCATAACCACTCGAACGCCAGACCGTCGTCCAAAGTATCTTCCGTTATATTTGTTAAAAATATTATATTTATTTTTATACGATTTGTCTTGTTATATTATTACAACGCGTTTGGAGCATATTTTTGTTATTTTTAGATTTATCATATTTATCATTACTTTTTTGTTAATATTACTGTGGCGCTTTTGGCTCGTTAATCTCGGCATTTGTTATGATTTCATTAATTATCCTTGTTAAGAGTTCTTTTTTATTGCAAACGACGCGAATACTTCACACAATCGAACCAGTGATGGTTTAACTGCGAAGCACGCAAACATAAATACGAAAGATGACAATTAGTACAGTAGTTGTTGTGAACCATTAACTTCACCATACATGGTTAAAACGGCAAATGCTGTTTCATAAAAATCTATTGCATGAAAAATTAAAAGAAAGATATATAATGGTTTATGAAAAAATTTTTAAAATTGATAAAAATAAATAAAACCAAATCGTTGTCGGAAAATGTGTTTCTTACAAATTTTAACAAATTATCTACACAAATTAAACCGTCAACTCTATGGTCTATTTATTCAATGCTTAAAAGCATGAAAAATACAAAACATAATATTAACGTTGGTACTTATTTCAAATTACAAGTTTTTTTTAAAGAGAAAATGGAGTGGATTAAAAGTAAAAATTCTAAAGTTTTGAATTCAACCGATATAAAAAATTCATTGAAGAAGCTTTAATGGTAAAAAAGGTAGGTGAGATAAAATTATTTTGTATATATTGGCTATTAATTTTCCGTTCATTTATTACGATATATGTTCATTCATTACGATAAATGTAATATTGATTCGTGAAATATATATTACACTAAACTTCTCTACTCAAAAACAAATTGTTATTGATCATTTACTATTAAAGGGGAGTTAAATGATATTTTTAAGAAATACATAGATTTATGACCCACAAATGTAATGTCAGATAGATTTTTTTTTAGTTATAAAAACAGTTAATGCATCAAGCAGGTTATTGGAAAAAACAAATTTGTAAATATGCCTAAAGAAATTGCAATGTATTTAAATTTACTGTATTCCCGAGCTGATACAAGTCGTTTTTTCCGCCGAACTTCAGCAACATTACTTACCGACTCTGTTGGTGATGTTACAACTAGTGATAAGAATAATCAAATGGAATAATCGAATGATTATAATAATCAAAATAATAGTAAAAGACATATTTACCAAAAGCAAATCAATTAAATTATTCGAAAAATTGCGTGTTTTACTCATTTTCCATTGGGTGCTAAATTAAGTAGTCGACTATCTATCAGTATTGTATTATAATTGTTATAAATTATAAAATTACTGAATTTAACTGAAACTACAGGTATCTATTTGGTAAGGGACCCAGGTCTTATAATTTTTGAGAGGGCCTACCGGGATTTTCCCGGGATACCGGTGAACCAGTACGCGCCTGCATGAGCTCAATTTTTATGGTACCGATATCACGAAAACTGTTTTATAAAGATCACATATATAGAACTATATATTATACCAAAAATAAAGTTTATAAGGTTCACGTGATAATGATTGTCATAAACTGGAGAAGGCCAGTGTTTACCAACTTTTAATAAACCATGAAAGTGTATTTTAAAGAGAATATTATATGATTTCTAAGTACAAAATAGTAAATAAAAATTTACGATTTATCGATTTTAGCATTTGATTATCGGCCAAAGAATAGCCGACTTTTTAAAATTTCTTAGAGTGGGGAATTTGCCATAGTTTGCCCCTCCCTCAAATAAAGCCTCTGATTCTACTATTATCCGAGAACAGAAAAATCAATTTTTTTATGAGAAATAAGTGTTAGAAAAAATTTAAAATATTCAAAATTTCCTTTCACCAAAATATTTCTCATATTATTTTCTGTTTATATTTAAATTTACATCAAATTTGGATAAAAAGAAAGTTTCATATGGCTTTTTTGTCAAATTTTGGAAAAACTATTGAGGATTTCGAAAATTACTTTCAAAAAGTACCATATAGAGGCAAATTCTGATACAAAAAGTTATTTAGGTATGTAAACTTTTAGGTACACATTTGTTTACGAAAAAGTGTAAACATAAAAAATAATAATAATAAATAAATAAATAAACATCATTGTAGAAGACTTTTCTTAAAATTATATTTTTTCATGTATAATTTCAATGATAAACATGAAATAAATTATATATTTTACATCTACTTAGTACAAACATTTAAAAATTTTAATTTAAGTGCTTTTAAAAAAATATTTCCTGATTTAAATAGATATCTAAGATATTATAGACGTATACAATTCGGTAATTAATTTATAATTAACAAACTTAAGGAGTAGGTAGTAAGTCGATGTTTATTTAAATAATTTAAACAAAACTCGAAAATAACTGTGTACATCAATAATCTATTGCATATTTAGTATATAGTGTAAAAAACTTACCGTTTTGACTTAAAATAAATAAAACAAAATAAAATAATTAAAAATAAATAATAAAATAAATAATAAATAATAAATAATTAAATACTTTTAATGAGTAAAAACTTAGAAAATCGTAGAGCGTCGAACTTTCTTGTAGTAGTGTCGCAAAATATGATAAATAAATGACTGGCAAACAGGTAATGGTGAACACCATCCATTAGCTCATAATATGTTTTGCAAGAGACAAAATTCTTAAGAATTTTCATTTCATGCCACACGTGTTGCCTCGTGTTTGCGACTCACGCGTGTTTAGTTTTCGTCGAATTACATTTCGACAGTTACGACTTGATATATTTTATAGTAATTTGATCTATTACAATAGTATTATTTGGGCTATAAAATATAGTTGATTAAAAACCTATAAAAATAAACTATAAAATATAGTAATATTCACTATTAAAACCAACTAAATTTATATTTTTAATAACTATACTGTTTTAGTCATTCCACCTCTAAAATATTGATTCTTACTACATTTTCCGTGACTATAAAATGTTAGTAATTTTTTTTTTAATTTAGACATGGACAA